GCAGGCCAGTTCCCAGCAGGGGACACACAAGAGGCAACCATACATTGATATTTATATCCCTTTCTCCTTCCCTTCCCCTCTGAAGATAAATAAATAAAATCTTTTTAAAAATAGACTTTCTCATACACTGTTGATGGGAATGTAAATTGGTATGGGATTTTTGGAGGACAATTTAGCATAATCAGTCAAAATCTAAAATGACTCCTGGCTAGTGTGGCTCAAATGGTTACAGCATCATCCCATGGGCCAAGAGGTCATGGGTTCGGTTCTTGGTCAGGGCAGAAGCCTGGGTTGTGGGTTCAGCCCACAGTTGGGGCACATGCAGGAGATACCGCATCAGAGCACATTCAGGTGGCCACCAATTGATGTTTCTTTCACATCAATGTCTCTCTCTTCCTTTCTCTCTAGAATTAATAAATATCTTAGGGTGAAGATTTAAAAAAATAAAATGAAACATACCTTTTGCAGGTCCTTCGAACTGTCCACCTCTGGTGAGTGCTGGGATGGTTTCTTCAGCCTCCATCCTCTTTACCTCTGTGGCTCTTTTACATTTTCCACAGCTTTAATGGTTCGTGAGTAGGCTGTCGTTGGCCTGAACCAATCAGCATGATCCTGTTTCCCTTAGCTCCCATTATTAATTCAGACAAAGGAATTTAACAAAGGCCCAAACTAAGCCATTCCCCTGGCTACAGTGCTTGATTATAGGTGAGTGGTATTCAGCTTTGGCTTTATCAGAGTGGAGTTTTGTTTGAGTTTGCTGGGGGAACACACTTCCTCCTCTTTCAGAGAATGAGGACGTATATAGCTGTAGGAATTGAAGCTCCCAAAGTTTATATTATCTAAACAAAATTATTCTTAAATTGATTCCAGATCTAAATAATCATGATCATATATTTACTTCAACAAACATGCACGGCTCTGTCACTTATTGAGTGACAGAGGAATTTACTGTGTAAATTCCTTAATCTGTCCAGGCCTGCTATCTTGCCTATAGAATATTACTAACATTCCTACCTTCACCAGAATGTATTATTACTATTGTCACACAGAAATCTCTGTGCCAGACGGTGTGGAACAGAACTAAGTGCAGTTCCCAGTCTTCAGAAACACAGAAAATTCAGTGAGGCAGGGACATTGTGATACAGGGTGCAGCCAGGGGGGCCCCCAAAAAAAAAGATTTGGAATGGTGTCCAGAATTCAAAGTGTATAGGAATATTGGAGAGACATATAAGATGTCCTCACCCCCCCCCCCCCAAGGGGGAAGGAACGAATGGAGCCAGGCCACTGAGAGCTGTTTTGCACAGCAACAGTTTTGGAGCTAACCTCTGGAATGATTATTTAACATATGTATAACCTTTAACTAGTTTCATAGATATGTTAAATAGCAGTGGCCAAGTTTGGAGCCAGGGAGAAGGTAGTGGACTGGGACTCAGGAGGATGTAACTAGGGGCTGCACTCCTGAGTGAGAAGGGCTTGAGGACTCAAGATGAAGCTAGGGGGCTGCGCTCCTGAGTGAGAGATCCTGTGTGAGAGCCTGGAAAAGATGGGCTCCGGGACATGAGGCGAGAACTGTCCAGGTGAAAGGGAAAACCACGCAGCTTTGCCAGAATGGAGATCCCTGCAGCCAGGTGAAGAAGAAAGCCACATGCTTTTGGTGGAGTGCGGACTCCTGCAGCTTTGGTAGAAGAGGCCCACGTGGCTTTAGGATGCCCATTTGGCCGCGTGGCCTGGAAAGCAAGAGAGACTTTGACTGGAACTGGGTACAAAGGACTCTTGCCAGTGGACCATGAGAGGGGACCACAGTACTTTGGATTAACTCGAGATCCTGCACAGTGACACAGCTGACGGTGCCAGCAGCCTGCAACACAGATGTGTGCTCTTTTCCTGATTTACGGTACCCGGAGTTGGGACACCTTGGAGAAGGGAGCGCTGTGTGGGTGTAGGTGTATACCCTAAAGGACTTTGATATTTTAGTGGTGGCATTAGGCCTGAATAGCATTAAATAAACATTTTGTTTCCTTTTCACAAATCTCTGGCATTAAGAGATGTCTTTCCAATTGGCGGCGGACAGAAGGGCCCAGTAGATTTTAGTATTTTGTTTTTGGGAGGGGCCCCTGTTGTATAGCAGTTTTGGGCATCCCTAGGTGGGCCAAATATTGTATTGCCCCTCCCTCGGACTTCTTGTTGTTCGGTAACAATTGGGTATCGCTCTTACCGGTGTGTCTTCAGAATCTCGCTCTGACTCTTCTGGAGGGACTAGGAGCAACTTCACAAAAAGATTTTCTACTTAAAAATACGTGTAGTGGGGAGACAGACAAGGAGGTACACGTGTAAGCAAAAGGAGAGATTATCCAAGGAGGAAGGCTGAAAACAGGGAAGTGACTGAAACACTGTTGTCACAGGGTGGAGGGGGCATTTTTAATTCTAGCAGCAACATTAAGAGAGATCACTTGTCAGATCTAGAGGCAAGGACATAGCTGAAAGGAGATAAACTGACATTTAAAAAAAAACTGTTCTCTCTAGAGACATGCTGAAATAAGATATTTTTGTGCCATTTCTCTCCTTTTTTTCATTAATATTAACCAACAATATATTTTCCAAAATCTTGTTAGCACATTCCTCACTTCTACTGGAGATGACCCTGTGTGACCAAGTAGAACAAGAGGTTAAATAAGACCCTGTGTGTGCTCTGGCTGCTGTGGCTCAGTGGAATGAGTGCTGGCTTGCAATGTGAAAGGTCACTGGTTCAATTCCTAGCCAGGGCACGTGCCTGGGTTACAGGCCGGGTCCCCACTTGGGGGTGTGTGAGAAGCAGTCCATCGATGTATCTCTCCCTCTCTATAAACAAACAAACAAAATCTTTAAAAAATAAATAAGGCTATGCAATGGGGGGAACAAAATTTTACTGAGAGCAAAGGAAAGTGACATTTTATAGATAGTTTTTTGTTTTTTAAAGAAAATTTCTCAGTGTATAATACATTCAGTGTCAGGTACTCCCAAACACAAACAAGCACCAGGCTCTAAATCACAAGTCACACACAAGCGGTAACAAGTGATGTCGAGATCCATGGTAAGGTGCTTCTCAGAAGGACATGTTAAGAAACAGATAAACTGAAACACATAAACTAACATTTTCGAGTTAGCTCATGTCTAAGCTATCACAAGAAGAAATAAGATCCTTTAAAAAGCAATGTGAGAACATAATTTTTCATTCACATAGAGGAGTGTTAAGGGCCCATTTCTAATGTAAAAACACTTAATACAAAACAATAGAGAAAAACCCACTTAGTCCAGTTCACTAAAACTAGCCTTAAAGCCTCAGGAGCAATGACCCTGGTATTTCTAATTCTTGGCCAGTGGGTAGGTTGTGCAGAGGCTTAGAAAATAAGTCGACCACATTTTTCAGTCTAAGCTGACTCACAGCTGAATATAGATCCAGCCTTATATTGAAGCACAATTAAGGTAAAGAAACCAATAATGGCAGAGTGACACAGGACAACACATCTGTGTTTCTGTTTCAGTAAGAAGTCAGCTGTTCTAACCAAGCAAGGGATTCCCACCAGGAGAGGACTCCCAGCCTCAGTCCGGCACAGCACTCACAAGGTGGTCTTTACAGACCTGCTGCCTCACGCACTTGATGACCAGACTGCTTGCACATAAAAATTAACTTACCATCCCTATATCCAAAGTTTCCCCCAAAGAATGATAGATTATTTCAAACATCTTTGTTAAATATCATACAGTGTTATATACATTGTTTATGGTCTATTAATTAAGTAAATGCAAACAAAAATTATGGAGCTCCATAACATATAATATTTATTAATTTTAAAACATACATATACACCACAAGCCCATTTTTCCTAACAAGTTCATACACATATTCCCTATTTGTATGTGACTTCATCATATCCTTGTGAGGAAAGACAGAGCAATCTTAAACTGAAAAAAAAGTAGGATTATTTTACTTCAGTGTCTATAGCCCCAGCTTGCAAAATCTTCTTTTTCAAGTAGTTCTGCCAAGTTTCTAACCAGATATGATCCTCAAGTCTCAGTTTGGATTTACAGTAAATAATTTTTAGTTTCTTAATTCTAAAGTTCACAAAATGTTTTAAATGCATAAGACACCAAAAGCAAAGAAAGAATGAAAATGTAACTGACCCTAAACCCTCAGGTATTGAGGTGATATTTGCACACCAATTTTAAATGAAAACAACATCGAAATAAGCTGGGCAGCCCCTTGGCTTCTAAGTATTGCCTGCGTTTTATGTTGTGGTGGCTGTTGGTAACATTTTCCAAAGTAAAAGTAATATTTTAATGTGAGGCCTATTAATGCCCATCTACACACTAACTTCATTCAGTCTGTGAGCCATACCCGGTCTCATCAAACACCAGGACAGAAGTTAAAGACAGACCCCGAAATCAAGATCAAATGTTAACTGATCCATCTGTAGACTTTCACATTGCAGCCCATTATTTTGCCTCCTTAACATCCTACTTTTTTCTGAGGCTCAAGTAACTATATTTAGAATTTCAATATTGAGCTTCACAGAATAAGTAATAGAGAAAAGTGCTAGTTAAATTCTTGGTCTAAGTTCTAGCCAATGTCTTTTTGGGGAAAAAAATACACTATTAATTGGTTAAGGCAAAGAAAACCCCCGACACAAATCCTGGTCCCCTAACAACCCTTCTCTAAAATAAGATGCGAAGCATGACTGGAGACCCAGAAACCAGAACCTGGGAGCCAAAGTGACTGAGCTCTCCCGCCTGAAACTCATGGACCCACGCATGAAAAAAAGTGTACTGTAGGTTAGTAATTCTGCACCTTCGTTAAAAGCTTTTCAGAAGGCCTAAGTGTTTAAGGAAACAAGGAGACAGGAATATCTCCAGGATTTTACACAGATGTGCCACCTAGCATCTCCTTCACACCAGAAGTGAAAAGGGGCGGCATTCCTAACAACAGCCATCCCCCCCCACCGCCCCCACCGCCCAAAGCCTGCTCGGCGGGTGAGTTCAATAGCAATGGGCCCAGAGAGAAGTAACCAGTCCTAGTCAAATGGTAACCCTGCTTCCCCTCTCCTAATTTTGTTTGCATACCTTTTTTGTCAATGATTCAGTATGCAACTGCAAAGGTATACCCACAAAAATTTCCATTACCACTCTTGTTCTAATCATGTTCCAGCACATGGGAACATTAGCACCAGAATCTTAGAGTGCAGAAAAGTACCCAGTGTCAGCCATACTGAAGCCATACTAGAAACAAAAGTTTCTTTGTGAAACTTGCACTAGTGTGGCTCTCAGAAGATCAGCAGAGAGGCAGATTCCCACGATGCACTGATCAAACCACAGCAATAACCACGGAAACCAAAGAAATACATCTATCCATAGAGAGCAGTTATATGTCTTCTAAAAGCCTAGAAACAAGCAAGATTCTTAAATGTGTTTTTATGGTTAAGTTAGGTAAAGGAAACATTTTCTCTGATCCTATTTTTTTTTTCATTTTCTTCAACAGATTCTAGTTTGTAGTGCCCACACCCACCAATCACACTCCTGCATAAATGTGCACATTAACCCAGAAAACACACAAAGTCCGATGCACAAGTAACATGAACTCTTACATGTTTCTTTCTCCTTTTTTTTTTTTACTTACGTTTAATCTTGGGTAACTTTAAATACACAATCTACTAATAGTAAATATATATTCAAGTAACAAGAACCATATATCACTATTCTTTCATTGGCTATAACTTGAAATAGCATCAGTCACTTGAAAGGTGATAGGACAGCAGTTGGGGAGGGACACTTGTTTAATCTTCCTTTAAAAACACCTGGAAATCTTTGTCTTTCCGTCTGCAAGACCTTTCTCAGAAGATGCAGGCAGTTCAGAAGTGAAGGATCAAAACCATGTACATCTCCTCCTAGGGTATCAGCACTTTGGCTCCAAGTTGCATCTCAAGTGCTAGAGTAGCATCTAAAAGCACAGGGGGGAAATACATGCCACCAAATGTTTTACATAAAATCTTTCTATTGTAGATTTCTATCTCACTCTCTCACATTGCATATGCAAATATACAACACGAGTTTCCCACAAAAAGTTACGTAGCTTCAAATATGAGAAAGCCAACCTACCCAGTTCAGAACCAAACTGACATTCAGTACTGGTGTTCCATTCGAGGCAATTCGGCCTCCGAATCATCTGACAAGGGAGATCCCGGTACCTATAGGTTAATAACGCAGCATTACAGATCCTCAGCAATCGTAGAGGTCCCACTCCCCAAACACCCCAATTCTTGTTGTTCAAATACCAGATGTTTAAAATTAACTATTTATAGCTCAAGCTGCTTGCACAGAAGATGAAGTAAGGAGACGCTATTCTTTGTCCTCTTTGTTGATGCCTATATTAAAAGATACTTTTGGTGTGCCCAGGCAGGGTAAACTCACTACAGCCCCATTCTCCTCCTTATTATGAAACAAGAAAACAAAACGAAAAAACCCTTTGGGAAAAATTTTTTTTAAATACCACAACTGAGGACTAAGGAGAGGAGCCAAAACTTGAAGATGAGACCCTTCGTGGGGAAGTAGGTTTCCAATTTAGTTTTTTCACACCTGTGGCTTTGCCCAAAGAGCCGCTGCCCAAGTACCAGAGCAGTGAGAAAGTATGACTGGCTTTAGCCTGTCTGAAGGCCTGAAAGAAACCCCATTTTATAGAGAAACCAGGGAAAGGGGTCTCTGCAGGCCAACAAGTACAGGGGGGCTTCTGAACAGAGGAAAACCAGAGAAAGGGGTCCTCTCCACCTGTATATAAACCCACAGAAGACTTGGTGGACCTCCTGAGGTATGCATGCGTGGGGCAGCTTCAGAACAGCACAGCAAAGGCTTGGAGAACTGAACTGAGATGTGAATCGCCTGCACACGTCTTTGGACCTGCACAAGAACAGGGCAGGTGCAAACCAGGGTCACAAAGACCTGCAGAACTGAGATTTGTACCATCTCTCACAGAAGCTAAGGCAGAATTTACAGTGTGAACCAAAAGGGTGACTTCTGCTAAAGCAAAAATTTCAACATTTTTCAGAGTATTACAATAGGACCTCGAGGCTACATAACATAATGTCCACAATGTCCTAGATACAGCCCCAAAATACTGGCCATAAAAACATCTAGGAAGGTGTGATCAGTTCAATTAACAAATATCAATCCTCAGGCAGCCCCAATGGTGGAACTTTACATAAATACTTGAAAACTTTAATACTTTAAAGCTGTTATAACTATGGCACATGAGATGAAAGAAACATACTTGAAACAAAGGGACAGGAATTCTTAGTAGAAAAGTAGAAGCTCTAAAAAAGAACTAAGTGGGTATTTAGGACTAAAAAACACAGTACTGAATTTTGAAACCTCACTAGATGGGCTTAATAGCAAAATGCAAAGGACAAAGAGTCAGAGAAATGACAGATCAACAGAAATAAACCAGTCTTAAAAATAAAGAGAAAGAAGATTGTAGAGAATGAACAGGGTCTCAGGGACATATAGGAAAATGCCTAAGGAGCTAACACGTATGTCACTGGAGTCTCAGAATGAGAAAAGAGATTGTGAAAGAAAAAAAAATTGAGAAACAATGACTAAAAACTCCCCCAATTTGGTAAAAGATATAAAGTTTACAGATTCAAGAAGCTCAGGAAACCCCAAACAGTATAAAATTAAAAAAGAAAACAATGCCTAGACACATTATATTTAAACTAATGAACATAGAAAGCATCTCGAAAGCTAAGCAGGGTCGGGCCTGGTTAGTACTTGGATGGGAGAAGGCAACCAGAAAAATGAAACATTACATGGAGAATAACAATTCAAATGCCTGACAATTTCCCCCCAGAAATAACAGAGATCAGAAAGTAGAAGAATAATGTCTTTGTAGTGCTGGGGCAAAATTAAAATAACCTACCAACTCAAATTTTATGTCCAGTGAAAATATATTTCAGGAATGAAAGCAAAATAGTCACTCTCAAATGAAGGAAAACTAAAAGAATTTGTCATCAACAGACCTACTCTGCGAGAAATGCTAGAGGAAGTTTTTCAGGTGGTAGGAAAATACCAGAAAATAAAACTGTAATCTTTAAGGAAGAAGGAAAGTCCTGGCCAGGTGCCTCAGGTGGTTAGAGCAACGTCCCACGCACCAAAATACTGCAGGACCCATTCCTGGCCAGGGCACATCCCGGCAGGTTCGATCCCCAGGTGGGGGGCATACAGGAGGCAACCGAGTGATGTTTCTCCCTCCCATGTACGTCTTTCAATGTCTCTCTCTCTCTCACCCTCTTTCCTTCTCTCTAAAATAATACAAATACATATTCTTGGTTGAGGATGTCTTTAAAAACAGAACAGAAACAGTAAGTAGCTAGGTAAATGTAGAAGACTACTTTTTTCTCATAAATTATTTAAAATATTTATGACTGTTTTCAGCAAAAAGTACGACATAGCATGGTAAAAGAGTTTTCAATGTATGTAGAAAAATACATCTGATGGGAGTGACATAAAGTTCATGTTGGTGCGAAGGGAAAGGTGTTTGCAATAAAAGGTGTTAGACCTATAAAAGGTGTTAGACCACCTTTTATAAGTGGCCTAATATTTACTCTAAGTAGGCTGTGAAAAATTAGTTATGCATATATACTGTAACCCCTACATAACTAAAAAAAATAATACAAAGAGATATTCTCCCAAAAGCCAACACGAAAAAGATTCCTATACAAAAGAAGACTGGAAAGGGAAAAAGAGAGGAAAAGTAACAAACAAATAAAAGTAATAATAAGAAACAGAGCTAGACCCAAACATATCAACACTCACATTAAATGTTAATGGCATAAATATTCAGGGGTGGTCAGAATTCTAAAGCTATGCCCCTAAGATGCCTCTTCCTGGTTAGTCAATCAAACTAATTTAACTTCTGTGTGAAGGGACTTTGCACATGAAATTAATGTTACTAATCGGCTGATCCTCAGGCAGATTATCCTGGTGGGCCCAGTGTAATTGCGTGTACCCTTAAAAGCAGAAGAGTGAGTCAAAGAGATAAGGCAAGGAGGAGGTCAGAGAGATTTAACAAATAAAAAGGTTTAGCCACTGTTGCTGTCTTTGAATATAGTGGAACTAAGCCATGAGCCAAGGAATGTGGGTGCCCTTTACAAGTTGAGAACAGTCCTCGGTGTCAGCCAGCAAGGAAACAGGGACCTCAGTCCCACAACCACATGGAACTAAATTCTGCCAACAGCCTGAATGGGCCTGGAAACAGATTCTCCCCGAGAGCCTCCAGAAAGAAATGCAGCCCTGCCGCCACCTGGATTTCAGCCCGTGAGACTCTAAAGGGGAAAAGCAGCTTTGCCCAGGCTCCTGACTCATAGAAACTGTGAAATAATAAACACATATTAAGTTGGTAGTCGTTTGTTAGCAGCAATAGAAAACTAATACATGTGTCAATTATAAGAATTGGAATCGACAGAATGGGTACAAAGGAAAGACCCCCTACTCGTCATATGCTGCTGGCAAAAGGAACATTTTAAATATAAAAACAAGATAGGTTGAAAGTAAATCAAAAGTAAAAAGATATACCATAAAACCATAAGTTCTTCCTTTCTGTCTGGCTGCAGCCATAGGTAAGCCAAGACGGGCGCTACAATCACATTCAGGAGCTTTGGAGGAAGAAGCAGTCCGATGTGACACGCTTCCTTCCCAGGGTGCACTGCGGGCAGCACCGGCAGCTCTTGTGCTCCACAGGCCCCACCCCCACCCCGATAAAGCGGGGAGGCTGGAATACCAGGCCAAGCAAGGTTATGTCATATATTGGATTCGCTGGCGCTGTGGTGGCCCCAAATGCTCTGCTCCTAAGGGTGCGACCTACAGCAAGCCTATCTATCATGGTGTTAACCAGCTGAAGTTTGCCCGAAGCCTGCGGTCCACTGCTGAGGAATGAGCTGGGCACCACGGTGGGGCTCTAAGAGTCCTGAATTCTTAGTGGGTTGGTGAAAATTCCACGTACAAATTCTCGGAAATTATCCTCATTGATCCATTCCATAAGGCTATCAGAAGGGATCCCGACCCCAATGGATCACCAAACCAGTCCACCAGCCCAGGGAGATGTGAGGGCCGACACCCGCAGGCAGCAAAGGCCAGCCCTGGAAAGGGCCACGAGTTCCACCACATTATTGGTGGTTCTGAAAAGGTGCTGTACTCTCCAGCTCCAATGTTACCACTAACATGTGTCATGTTTATAAAATTCTTACTTAATAAACAATCTAGGACAGTCACGTCTGCTTAAAAGTGTTCTTTAATTTGTTAAAACCAGTTGACTACAGATTGTTTCGTGAACGCATGGTCAAATTATGAAAGTTAAAGTACAATAATGTTCGAAGACTATAAGTGATGGTGTATTTTGTTTCTCATAAGATAAACACTTGTTTTTGCTTTATCTCAGTGATTTTCAATATTTTTTCATCTGCGACACACGAAAATGTATACTAGTCTTTTGCTGGTCTGACCAAAAAAGGTATAATTTTGATTCATTCACATCAGGTGGCTATTGTTGTGTTGGCTGTTGTCACTTTTTTATTTGACAATCTAAGGGGAAAGAGGTCAGTGCCCCTGACATTTAATGTATGTAAAAAAATACATATGATGGGAGTGACATAAAGTTCATGTTGGTGGAAAGGGAAAGGTGTTTGTAAGGTTTCTACCTTTCATTAGGCCACTTAAATTTCTGCACCTTTAAAGTCCACATTAAACTTAAGTGTAGCAGTATACAAGAAATTTGCTGAGACTCTATAATCGTATAATTGGGTATTGAATATTTTTTAAATTCTTGCAATATACCAGTGTGCCATGGCACACCTGTTGAAAATCGCTATTTTTTCTTGTTAGGGAGTTTTCTATGTCAGTGTTTAAAATGCTGTTTGGTATGATAGGTGTAAAATAAATTCTATGAAAAAGGAAAAAACCCATAAGTATAAATAGGCTGGAGTGTCTATTTTAACCTTTGATAAAATAGACTTCAAGGCACAGAGCATTATGAGAGATAAAGAGAGACATTTCATAGCAATAAAAGGGACATGCACTGGGAAGAAAGAATCATTGTAAGTGTGCACGTAACTAAAAATAGAGATTTAAAATATATGAAGCAAAAATGAACAGATAGAAGAGAAAAACAGACAATTCCACAATCATCATAAAAGACTTTGACAGCATCCCTTCAGTAACTGACAGAACCAAACAACAACAACAAAATCATGAAGGACACAGATCATGTGAACAACACTATTGACTACCTTAACACAGTCACATTTACAGAACATTACATCCAACAACTGGAGAATACACATGATTTTCAAGGGAACAAGGTTCATTCACCAATATGGACCCTATGCTGGTCTGTAAAACACATCTCAGTGTATCTAAAAGAATCAAAATCACAGAGTATATTCTCTGACCGTATGGAATTAAATTAGAAATCAATAATAAAATGTCTGGGGAAACCCCAAATAGCTAACCATTAAACAAACATTTCTAAATAATTCATGGGTTAAAGAAGAAGTTACGAGGGAAATAAGAAAATGTTTGGACTGAATGAAAAATGAAACTACAACCTACTGAAACGTGTGGGATGCAGCTGCAACAGTGCTCACAGAAAAGAAACATACGGCTGCGTGTGCAAGTGCACAGCATGTGTGCGTGTGTGTGTGTCAGGGGGAGGGGAGAGGCTCTGTGGGTTATGTAACACTTTCCTTCCAATAATCTATCTTACAGGCTTTTCAAGAAGGCACATAGCAGACTTTTGTTACATGAAAATTTTGTGTTATGTACAGAAATGAAACATAGCTCAACATATTATGAATACATAAAGTAATATAAGAGACAGCTCCTGCCAGAAGGTCTTTTGCTCTTGATCTCCTGGCATTTCTCTTTCCATTCAGACTTTTCATGCATAAGTTTATGTTATTTTGGTGTTAATTTGTGCCTTTCACTATACTTACTTTATTTTTTATTGTATTTTAAATACAACTGGAAACCGAACAAGTAAATTGGGAGTAAAAATGCCAAACCAGTCTATATGTATAAAAAGATTAGTTCGAAACAATAAATAAAAACACTGAAGTGCCCTGGCTGGTGCAGCTCAGTGGATTGAGCGCAGGCCTACGAATTAAGGGATCGTGGTTCGATTCCTAGTCAGGGCACATGCCTGGATTGCAGGCCAGTTCCCAGCAGGGGATACATGAGAAACAACCATACATTGATATTTCTCTCCCTCTCTCCTTCCCTTACCCTCTAAAGATAAATAAATATAATCTTAAAAAAAGAACACTGAAGTGTGAAGGCAGCCAAAGCCTTTTTTCTTCCATTGACTGAAACTAGGTATGTTCATGTCAACCCCCCAAAGTGGTTTTGACAATGGTGCACCCTCAAACAGCAAGTGAAAATTTCTGCACCTTTAAAGTCCACATTAAACTTAAGTGTAGAAGTACACAAGGAATTTGCTGAGACTCTATAATCATAAATGCAAAATTTGTGACAGAGATTAATCTTCACACAGAGGAATTTGTTTAGTTTTGATTATGTTGCTATAGAAATTGTTGGCAAGGGATGAGGCAAAGCACAACAGTCAATAAGGCTTTTTCTCAGCACCACTGGGCAACTGACTGCAATTATCTTCAACAATATTATCCCCCTTGATAAGGGAGCTCCACAGAACTGTTTAAGGAGTAACAATAGAAAAAAGCATCCACATATATAGAGAACAACATCTCTATGAAATGAAAATGCTTAAGTAATGAGGATGGAAAATTTAATTTGAAAACAAAAGTTTCCAAGCAACAAGCAAAGGTGAGAAATCTGATCAAGTAAACAGAAAGTATAATGATACATATGCAAAGTTTGTAGCAAGTTATAGTTGGCTCAGGAGATTAAAAACTTTTCCAGTTTCCTTAATGTGAAAATGAGTGATATGACTCACAAAATGAGTGATATAAAAGTAGCAGAAACATCAATACTCTCAAGAATTAAGAGAAATTATAGAAAAAGATGACTACCGAAAGTAGCAAATCTTTAACATGGATGGAGTCCATCACCTTGGGGAAAAGTGTCAAGCAGACAATACATTGTAAAAGAATAAAGGCAATTTCAGAGTTTCGCTGAATGAAAGATAAGTTATAGGTGGATATTTTGCCTCACCAGCCACCACGAAGAACAGCGGTTTTTCCCGGATCTTGTGCAGGGTCAAGATGGAGACGTGGCAAACATGCTTCACCTCCTTGCAAAACCACAAGAAGAATTACAACTAAATCTCAAAACAAGTAACAGCCAGAACTATCAGAAAATCAAACTGTACTGAAGCCTGAAAAAGAAGGATTTAAAGAAATCCTTTAAAGAAAAAGAAGGATTTAAAGAAGGATTTACATTCATCCAGATGGGCAGGAGGGGCAGAGACATGAAGACAGGGACAAGAAGCAAGGAGACGTGGTGTGGCACAGAGAGGTGGTGGCAGCAGCGGATCAAGCCCAGGTGGACCCACATTCATGTGCAGTGGACAAAAATCAGGAGGGATACCTTGGGAGCGAGTGATCCCAGCCCCAAGCCAGATCACACAACTCAGGGTTTCAGCACCAGGAAGATATATCCCCGTAACTTCTGGCTATAAAAATGAGTAGGGGTTGGGGCAGCAGAAGAAACTGCCAGATTTTCAGGGAACTCCTCTTAAAGTGCCCACACAGTCTCAAAATGTACGCAAACCCACCCACTCTGGGATTCGACACCAGGGCAACAGCTGAAAGGGTGCCAGTCACATACAAGGAGTAGGTGAAGTGACCGGAAATGGGGTGAGTGCTGGGCAATCCTCCAGAAGCCAGGCAGCAGCACAGTTCCCTCTCCAAGTCGTCTCCCTACACAGAGCCATGAAGAGAGGAATCAGGTTGCCCCACCCTGGTGATTATCTAAGGCTCCACACCACATAAATTTACAGGTGCCTTTTCTATACACCATGCTACTAAGACAGGGAATCAAAGCAGCTCTACCTAATACACAGAGACAAACACAGGGAGGCTGCCAAATTGAGGAGACAAAGAAATATGGACCAAATGAAAAAACAGAACAAAACCCCCAAAAAGGAACTAAACAAAACAGAGATAGCCAACCTATCAGACAAAGAGTTCAAAACGCTGGTTATCAGGATGCTCAAAGAACTCACTGAATATGGCAACAACACAAAGGAAGAAATGAAGGTTACAGTAAGTGAAATAAAAAAAATGTATAGGGAACCAACAATGAAGGCAAGAAGGCCACAATTCAAATCAATGATTTGGAACATAAAGAAGAAATAAACATTCAACCAGAAAAGAAAGAAAAACAAGAATTAAAAAAAAAAAAAACAGGGATGGTATAAGAAGAATCTAGAACATCTCCAAACATGCCAGAATCTATATCATAGGATGTGAGAAGGAGAAGAGGAAGAGCAAGAAATTGAAAACCTATTTGAAAACTAATAAGAGAAAACTCCCCTAATTTGGTAAAGGAAATAGACATACAAATCCTGGAAGCACAGAGAGTCCCTAACAAGTTGGACCCAAAAAGGGTCACACCAAGACACATAATTAAAATGCCAAAGGTTAAAGATAAAAAGAGAGCCTTAAAAGCAACAAGAGTAAAGCAGAGTTACCTACAAAGGAGTCCCTGTAAGACTACCAGCTGCTTTCTCAGAACAAGCTTTGCAGACTAGAAGGAACTGCCAAGAAGTATTCAAAGTGATGAAAAGCAAGAATCTACAACCTAGATTATTCTATCCAGCCAAGCTATAATGTAGAATCAAGGACAGATAAAGTGCTTCCCAGAAATGGTAAAACTAAAAGAGTACATCACCACCAAGCCATTAGTACATGAAATGTTAACGGGACTTACCTAAGAAAAAGAAGATCACAACTATAAACATTAAAAAGGCAACAAATTCACAACTACCAATAACTGAATCTAAAAAAGAAAACAAAAAACTAAGCAAACAACTAGAACAGGAATGGAATCACAGATATGGAGTTCATGTGGAGGGTTATCAGCTGGGAGGGGGAAGGAGGAGAATGAGGGAAAAGGTACAGTGATTAAAAAGCATTAATTGGTAGGTTCAAAATAGGGAGATGTTAAGAACAGTATAGGAAATGGAGAACACAAAGGACTTACATGCACGACCCAGGGACATGAATTAAGGGAAGGAATTGCTGGAGGGAAGGGGGTACTGGCCAGAGTGGGGAAGGGGGAAAAAGTGGGGACAACTGTAATAATACCATCAATAAAATATACTTATAAAAAGAAAGGTAGGTTATAACTTTGAAGCTAATGCAATGAAACAATATAAGCTACTGCAAAACCTGTAGTTACATAAAAGCCATAGCTAGGCTATACACACACACTTTTTATAGATCCCATCAACAAACCCTCCCAATACTTAAGAGCAAACTCTCCCTAGGATTCTTTACTAGAAATTATGACAGAGACCCAAGTTCCACCCAACCTACAAGGAGTATTTCTGTACCTGAGGCAATGCAACACTGGAGGCATGCAAGTCAATAGCAGCTAGAGAAGGAATTCGAGATTCTGGAAGATTTTTGTTCTCTTTCCTTATTAGCCTGGAATTTCGAGCTGAATAAAAATAACCATAAACACAGTGCAAAAATTAGACATATTAGTTTTTTCACATTCTATATATATCCCTCTATGTTGACTTATTGTACATATGTCTGTACATATTTACATAAATATGTAAAGTTACTATGAATTTTTAATATTCTGTTCATTTAACATAATTTTAAACAGTATAAATAGCAGGGCTGAAAAAGTAAAAGCATTATAAACATACCTATGCCTTCCAAGGCTCTTAGTTCAGGGAGATGATTATAGTTTAACTCAGGCAAATGGACATCTGTCTTTGCGTATTCTCTTCTTTTCCTATTTGCCTGAAGTAGGCTCTTTTCACTAGTGACCTAATATCATGATGATTAACACAAGTGAATTAGCTTCTAGGTAAGCTGGACTTGCCCCTTTTGTAACTACTATATTTATATCCTAAAATTTATGCGACCGAAGATCTAGAATAATACAAAATTTGAAGAACATCAGTAACACAAAAAACAATTTCACCTAATGATTTCAAACCTCTTCCTCAGTAAATCTATTAAGTAATCACTAACAAGTGGATTACTGCCCAATGTTTCTCCTTCTCCCTCTCCCAGCCTTCATTTAAGTCCTGCCAATCAGTACAATGTCAAAGATGGACATCGGGCCAGCAAGGTGAGGGCTTATGACACGTGCTGAGCTTTTCGGCACAGAGTAGCTAATTTGGGACAGATCATCTTGCCACATACGCCACCTGTCCTAGCTCGTTTTTGCTTTCCCAATATAACCTTCTTACTCCTTTTTAAAATAAAGAACTACAGCTCCAATTATTTTTCTAATCTTTCTTAGTATTTTTACCGTATAGTTGATAAAGTCTGAAAAACAATAAAGTGAAGAATAGCAATAGTGCTTCAACTCTGCACCTTTATGAATTTGACATTTTTCCAATGTTTCATTTGAGAAGGACAGAACACTGCATTCTCCTCCACATTTCAAAACAGATGATGCATAGAAAGAGTGTGTGATTTGCTAAAAGAAAAAAAACCCTATAAATAATGAATTCATATATGTATGTGTATGTACATGTACGTATGTATATATTATGAAATACACACACAAACACATATGACAACATTAAGCCATTGAGGTTTCTCAATGTCTGAAGTTTAATATTCTGTGAATTATACCACTCTGCCTCCCAGAAAGTCCTCAGGTGAGTTTTTGAGTTTCTTTCTTTTGGATGTTTTTGTTTGTTCTTTTAATAGAATAGGTGTGTTAAGGCTCTTGGTTCAAATCAGCTACAAAATAAAAATAATCGGTTCAAAAAACTACCTTCAAATACAAAAAAAAGAATGAGTCAAAACTACTAGAATTACAGATTCAAGGAGTGGCAAACAAAATACATAAGAGACGTTTATAATAATGTATATTTATTCACATCTCAGAATCAGGGGATGAAGCATGGGAGAGGGGTATTGATCTTCAATTGAGAAGTAGAAGAAAGTTTGGGCTTAGCTCTGCCTCCACTGATTTCCCAGTAAGGTTTCTCCCCACTAATTTTTACCCCCTTTTTTGATTGCCTCTTCCAAAGAAGGATAAACAGAAATAATATCTAAAACTACTAGCCAGTGTTGGTTATGCAATACCTAAAAGGAGGGTGGTATCAATTCCCAAAAAGCAGTATTGAGCCAGCTGTTTTTGAAAAGCCTTGCTGAGCAAGATAATCTTTCAAAGCAGACCAGGAATGTACAACAAAATATGCACAAGAAATCAAAAGGTAGGGTATGTCAAAAGGAATGTACTACGGGTACAGAAATTATAGGCTGGGAAGAATTAAAAGATAGACAAATACAATGTCCAAATCATGAGAGATGAAAAGAAAGGCTATTATTTTTCAGTCCTGGGGATAATCAAAAAGTAGAAAAGGAAAATCTGTGAGAAAAATACTTTTTTGGCATTATGTCGAAACCTCTCTTTCTCTGGCGGAAAAATTCATTCATTTCTTAAGCAGTTTCGACATGCTAGACGCCATTCTAGGTGTGGGACAGAGCAGTGTGGAAACAAAGCCCAAACTCCGCCTTAGATAGTTGCATTTTATGGGGGAGACAAACAATATATAAATAAGAGAATATAAAGAATGTCAAGTATATATACTGAAAAAAAATAAGCAAAGTGAAGATACAGAAAGTAATAGGAGACAAAAATGAGTTATAATGTTAGGGAAGAGCACATAATAAGATTTTGTGTAAGCCAAGGAAGAGGGAAAAAAAGCAAATTTTTTTCAAGAATGTTCTAACCAAGAAAAGAATGTTCTGAAGCACAGGAAAAAGCTATTGCAAACGCCTAAATGTGGGAGCATGTCTGGCCATGCTCCAGGAATAACAAGGAAATCAGTGTGGTTGGAATAGACTGATCAAGAATGAGAGGAGCTGTGAATGGCACAGATGGACGGGGAGTGAGTCATTCAGGGACTTGGGCTTTACTCAGAGATGAGAAGCCAGTGGAGGATTTGAGATGGAAGAGTGCAGATATTTTAACTTTAAAAAGAAGCTATCTTGAGCACAATAATGTTTCTTTGAAGCTGCAGAAGAATCTACGAACCTTGTATACACTTCTACGGTTACAATCTGACACTATGATTTAATTGGCTGACCCTCTACTTGACCATGAGCTTCTTGAAGAGAAAGATTGACTTATTCATCTCCAGTGTCTTACACATAATAGATTATCAATGAATATGTTGAATGAAGAAATAGAATACTTTCACCAAAAACCTAGTGATGAGATGAGACAATTTATCTTTTCCTCTACTCTTACAAAAGAACTGATCGCTAAGCATTAGGCTAAGAAAATTTACTGTTACATAAAGAACTAAAACAGATGTCATTTTAATAACATCTTATATTTTATTTTATTTTTTTTTTTTTTTTTTTTTTTTTTGAGTTTTAAAAGTTAAAATTTATTTTTTTTTTCTTATTTATTTATTTATTTATTATTTTTTTTCCCCTCTTCCCCCCCCCGCCCGGTCTCCCCCCTCCCTCCCATTCCCCCCCCCCCAAGTCCTCATCTCTGTGTCATTCATACTTGTTCCTCAAAATCCCTCCCCCTTTTTCCCCTTAAGTTCCCTTCCTTCTCCCCTCTGGTCGCTGCCCACTTGTTCTCTATTTCAGCGTCTTTGTTTTTATTCTATTTGCTTATTTGTTTTATTCTTTAGCTTCCTGTCAAAGGTGAGATCATATGGTATTTGTCCTTCAATGCCTGGCCTATTTCACTCAGCATAATGCTTTCCAGTTCCATCCATGTTGTTGCAAAAGGTAGTAGCTCCTTCTTTCTCTCTGCTGCATAAAATTCCATGGTGTATATGTACCACAATTTTTGGATCCATTCATTTACTGATGGGCACCTAGGTTGCTTCCACCTCTTGGCTATTGTAAATTGTGCTGCTATGAACATTGTGGTGCATAGGTTCTTTGAAATTGATGTTTTAGGATTCTTGGGGTATAATCCTAGCAGTGGAATTGCTGGGTCAAAAGGCAGGTCAATTTTTATTTTTCTGAGAAAATTCCATACTGTTTTCCATAATGGTTGTACCAGTCTACAATCCCACCAACAGTGAACTAAGGTCCCCTTTTCCCCACACCCTCTCCAACATTTGTTGTTTGTTGCTTTGTCTATTATAGCCATCCTGACTGGTGTAAAGTGGTATCTCATTGTGGTTTTAATTTGCATCTCTCTGATAGCTAATGATATTGAGCATCTCTTCATGTGTCTCTGGATGTTCTGTATGTCCTCTTTAGAGAAGTGTCTGTTCAAGTCCTTTTCCCATTTTTTAATTGGGTTCGATGTCTTCCTAGAGTGGAGTCGTGTAAGTTCTTTGTATATTTTGGAGATTAAACCTTTGTCTGAGGTATCATTGGCAAATATGTTTTCCCATACAGTTGGTTGTCTTTTTTAATTTAATACTGTTTTCTTTAGCCATGCAGAAGCTTTTTATTTTGATAAGATCCCATTTGTTTATTCTTTCCTTTATATTCCTTGCTCTAGGGCACATATCTGTAAAAATGTTGCTGCGTGGAATATCTGAGATTTTCTTGCCAATGTTCTCCTCTAGGACTTTAATGGTGTCATGGCTTATATTTAAGTCTTTTATCCACCTTGAATTTATTTTGGTGTATGGTTAAGTTGGTGCTCAAGTTTCACATTTTTTGCACGTAGCTGTCCAGTTCTCCCAACACCATTTGCTGAAGAGGCTATCTTTACTCCATTTTATGTTACTGCCCCCCTTTGTCGAATATTAATTGACTGTAGAGAGTTGGGTTGATTTCTGGGCTCTCTGTTCTGTTCCATTGGTCTATGTGCCTGTTTTTATGCCAGTACCAGGCTGTTTTGATTACAGTGGCTTTGTAATACAGTTTGATATCAGGTATTGTGATCCCTCCTACTTTGTTCTTCTTAACATCTTATATTTTAACTTCCAGACTTATAATACTTTGTAAAACTTATTTAAACTATAAGACTTTCACATTTAGGACTGTGGCAGGCTGGAAAGATGTATGTATAATTAAGGTTCCATTTTATGATCTGTCTCCAAATAAAATTCTAGTTCTTCACTATCATATTCAATATTAATAAAACTCTAGAAATGACTTTGCTTGCCCTTCTACCATGGAGAAAAGTTCACTTACTGATGTGGTCACATTAATATTACAAATGCCTGATGGAGAATGTTTATTTGGTTTAACAAATGGAATACAATACTTCTTGGTTTTCTCATCCACTCTGTAACAATAGCAACACAAAATTTAAGTTAGAAATAGCAGTTATTCTTTTTCAAGCACAAAACCAAATCACACAGCAACAAGCGACATGCAGTTTAACTAGGAGTTAATGCTTACTCGTAAATGTACTATGCGCACAGATGTGGCGAAACCTCTGCCCTGTACTACTACAGTCATGCCCTCACCCGGTTCCCAGCTCCAACCAAACTGCCTTCCTTTCAGGAAAATTCCCCAGGGGAGCTTCTTTGTACCACTGAATGCCCACAGCCATACCATGCAGCAACACATGATGACGATCTGTTTTAGTATGACAACCTCCTCTCACGTTATTAGACTAAATAGCTGTGGATTCTCTTCATCTTAAACAATACACTGAATTGACAATCACTTATAATTTGCAAATACATCCTTAAATAACTTTTTCTTCTTATTTTCTTAATTCATACCTGTAACTCTGAACTCCTGGCATAGTCCCCATTCCAGAATTAATACCAGGAGCGACTGCAGAAAGATTGTGTGCAAGAGGAGGAATCGCTGGGCCAGGATTCCTCGTGTGGTCCACGCTGCTATTGCTGCCATCTCTGAGGCTTGTTGAAGTCACTGTTTTGATGTGGCTGGTCCCATTGTCATGGAGACAGCTGGCATTTGCAGCTCGACTGATTTTTTCAACTTTTTCTCCATCAATTTTTGACCCTTTTATTTTAAATACTCTAGAATCCTTAACTTTGGGATCAGCATTGGAATCCTGACCATCAATAAAAATGTTGACAACATTAATGACCTGAAAAGAATGAAAAATCCCCTCTACCTATAAAGTAGCTGCCAACTAAAGCAGAATTCCATAGATATCACCTTTTTGTGCCCCTGTTTTCTTTATTCTATCTATGAAATTAAAATTAAACCCAAGATTCTTGGTTAGACATTTTGAGTGGGAATGCAAGTCACACGAACTTCTGATGTGTACCGGGCAGGGCAAAAATAGTTTACAGTTGTTCCTCTGGAAAATAACACAATAATTAATAAATAAAATGGAAGAATAAACTGCACTTCACATACTCAGAACTGTTAACCTACTTTTGCCCCACCCTGTATGGATCAGATTTATACTACATACATTTCTATTTTGTACATATTGTATTGGGAAAAACCATAGAAGAGGAACCAAGTATGCCCACTCTCGTTCTTCCATATTTAGAGTCAGGGAACACAAAACTGAAAAGTCTCTCCTTTTGGTTCACTTGAAAAACTGGGAGTGGGTGGCTGGTAGATTTGAACTACCAAGAACCAATTCTGGGTAACATACCAGGGAAAAGCAAACTTCAAATAAATTCAATACCCAAATCTCAATTTTAAAATGCTATACTTTATATAAAATTCTAATCATGTTATTTCCTCTCCTGTCATCTAAGGGGAAAATGGTGTGTGCGTGTTTGTGCCCATGTATCTACATGTGGGTGCACACGCGTGTGTCCAAATGTTCTTGGGCGAGTGTGACTCCCTGACAGGCTCTACTGCACGGGCTGGTACACAGTAGACACTCGCTACATGATAAGTTAAGATTTTTGAAACACATAACATCTATAAAGAAGATACTTTTTTTACAAAGAAGCTAAAAGTTAATTTGTTCCCCACTCAGACAATTTTTTAATCTTCATTTTTTTCCTTCTAAAACGTAAGGACATATTAAATTTAAAATTTAAGACACATTAAAACATGGACATTTACCTGCACCGCAAGTGTGCTTCTCTCCTCGCCTAAGAAGTCATCTTTCTCCTTTTCCTTCTTTCTGTTTTGGGACTTTTTAGCTAAAGAAATATTTCTGGCATCTTTCTGTATTTTTAACTGTAGTTCCTGAGAAAACCTACATGAAAATACATTTGTCAATAAAATAAAATTATATGAGATAGATAAATCAAGGAAAAAATTGGTTTTCAAGATACTTATTTTTCAAAATTGAGTATTAAACTAGGCTGTGTTATTTAAAATGAGAAAAATTATGGCCTCTGTTAGCAGTTCTGAAAAGGCAGTTCGTACACCCCTGGGAATCACTAAGAACCTTTCAGGAGGTTCAGAGTCAAAGCTATTCTGAGCTTAACACGGAGACTTCCCTCTCATCCTGCTGCCATCTGCACTGCCGATCTGAACAGGATGGTGGATAAAACTGCAGGCGCCACAACAGAAGTTGAAGCAGCAGCACCAAATGGCAGTGGCAGCCACTGCCTTTTTCATAGCTACTTTTATTTAAGGGTGTCCCTGGTAAGCAGTAAAAAAGTATTAATTTTATTAAATCTGAATCCTTGAGCACATGTCTTTTTTCAGTCTTTGTGATAAAATGAGAATATGCAAAAAGCACTTTGGCTACCAACTGAAATGCCATGGTTGCCCTAGGAAAAGCACTGTCTGTGGGTCTGTCTGAGATACAAACCAAACCAGCCATGTCTCCATGGGAAAACTGTTTTACTTAAAAGAAGGACAGAAAAACCATGGTCATTCAGACTTGGGGTATTTGACAGACATTTTCTTTAAGAAAATGAGCTTATCACTTCAGGGAAAACAACTGATAATATTTGTGTCAATAATAAAATTCAAATTTTTATGTGAAATTAGAATTCTGTTAAACTTGTATCCACTACTGTGAGCTTAGCAGACTTCCAATACTTAAAGGCTTTTCTAATAGGATAGAATGTGACTTCTTGATGTTATATAATGAAATGTGTCAACATTTTAAAGATATGCATAACAGTAAAACAGTATTTTCCAAATGACTATAGTATGATATTACAAAATATATACATAGGTAAAAGATCTAAGTACAAAATGGATTTTCATTTTTTTAATCCTCACCCAGACATTTTTTTCACTGCTTTTAGAGAGAGGGGAAGGGAGAGAGAACACTGATGTGAGAAAGAAACATCAACAAGTTGCCTCTTGTATGCACCCGAACCAGGGATCAAACCCATACCCTAGGTACAATGTGCACCCTGACCGGTAATCAAGCCTGAAGCCTTTTGATTATGGGACAGCACTCCAACCAACTGAGCCACACTGGCCAGGGCAGTACAAGATGGATTTTAATGAACAGAGTAAAAAAACTCAATGATGTAGTTTCAGATACCACAACCAACATTTTAGAAACTACCACGGTCAAGTTTTAGTACAATGTCAAAGTTTTTGCTGTAGAGTCAAAGAAGAATGCCCAAAATTATCTAAAAAAGCTTTTAAAACACTCCCTCATTTTCCGACAACATATTTATATGAGGTCAGAATGTATTTCAAACAACATACCACATCACAACTAATTGAATGTAGAAGTAAATATGAGAACTCAGGTATCTTACACTAAGCTAGATATTAAGTACATTTGTAAAAATATAAAGCCATGTCATTGCCACTCATATCACTGTTTTCTTGCTTTCTCAGCTGCACTGATGCCAGCAGCTCAACAGCACAAAAGAGCATGCCCACGGCTCTGGCCCCCACAGGGTTGGCACGCCAAAGTCTCCAGCACATCGGCAGTGTTATAGGACTGGTATGGTGTGAGTTTGGCAGCAACAGGAGATGGCACCTTTGCAAATGCATCAGCACCCAAGAGGATGGCATCCCACAGCTGGTAGCAACATAGAAATCAGTGACCTGAGTGGTACACGTCACCACATAGGAAGACGGAAAGAATAGTAGGAAGGGACTGCTTAATGAAAACCCCAAACCCTAACTTAGTGAATGCAGGGGACCATTCCTACAAGTCCCATAGCTGCTAAGGGTAAATGGAAGTAAGGGGGTACATATCTGAGATCCTATAAAAGTAGCTGGGTAGAGAAATGCTGTCTGTTACTGCTATGGAGATCTTATTCCAACTCCGGGTTGAGGTGACCTGGAAAACATGAGTCGGTACCATACCTCTCAGCAAACCCATCCATGTGAAAGAAATCATGGTGCAGGAGCTCAGCGCAGAAGGGCCTTTTGTCAGGGTCAATATGTAAGCATTTCTGGAAAACCAAATATATACATCTCATACTTTTAAAAAATGGCCTACATTAAAATTTGTAAGTATAGAAAATATTTCTTTATAGTCTGTGAATTTTAAACAGCTATGATAAATGATAAAGAATGAAGCACAAATCTATGCAAAGACCACCGATGGTTGCTAATCACAAAAAGACCACCAGACATTCTGATCAAGCTCTAGCTCTACTATGAATTTATAAGAAATACAGGACACAGAGCAACATATTAAACTGTATTTATGTAGGAAGTTCTAAGGGACAAACATAGTTTCCTCATCATATAAATGGCAAAGAAAGAGACAAAGATAAGTTTATAAATTAAGAACCTTAAAAAGATATAACTCATTGCTTGATACGTTGACTTCACATGAGTCCTAATTTAAACTATATAAAATTATGAGAAAAGCAGTAATATTTTGAGCATTGATTAGATGTTTCATGATATTAAGGAATTAGTGTAAAGTTTTAAAATTTAAGTCTCTTGCTTAGAATAGAAGGGAAAGGACCTTCTCCATGATTATTATTGTGCTAGCTAGATGATTTTATTGTAATGCAGGTCTTCTTCTGATTAATTAAAACCACTCAATGCCAGTAAAAATAAAAGGGACTCAAAAAATGCATATACATTCTCTGGCTCCTCTATTTCCTATACTATTCTTAACATTGCCCTGTCTATTTTGTACCTACCAATTATGCTTCTTAATCCCTGCACCTTTCCCCCCATTCTCCCTCTTTCCCCTCCCACTGATAACCCTCCAATGATCTCCATATTTATGACTGTTCTGCTTGTTTGCTTAGTTTCTTTTTCCTTTTCTTTTTTAAAATGTTTTATTGATTATGCTATTACATTTGTCCCATTTTCCCCCCTTTATTCCCCTCCACCCTGTATACCCTCTCCTACCCACATCTCCCACCCCTTAGTCCATGTTCATGGGTTATATGTATAAGTTCTTGGGCTTCTATATTACCTGTACTATTCTTAACCTCCCCGTCTATTTTCTACCTACCATTTATGCTATTTATTCTCTGTACCTTTTCCCCCATTCTCCCAGCACCCCCTCTGCTAATAACATTCCATGTGATCTCCATTTCTATGATTGTGTTCCTGTTCTAGTTGTTTGCTTAGCTTGTTGTTTTTGTTTTTGTTTTTTTAGGTTCAGTTGTTGATAGTTGTGAGTTTGTTGTCATTTTACTGTTCATATTTTTTAAAAGATATTATTTGTATCTCAGAGAGGGGAAGGGAGGGAGAAATAGGAGGAGAGAAACATCAGTGTGTGGTTGCCTCTCATGCGGCTCCTACTGGGGACCTGACCCACAACCCAAGCATGTGCCCTAGACTGGAAGTGGAATCGGTGACCCTTGGATTTGCAGGTCAGCAGCACTCAACCACTGAGCCACACCAGCCAGGACTACTGTTCATATTTTTTATCTTCTTTTTCTTAAGTAAGTCCCTTTAACATTTCATATAATAATGGCTTGGTGATGAACTCCTTTAGCTTTACCTTCTCTGGGAAGTACTTTATCAGCCCTTCAATTCTGAATGATAGCTTTGTCAAATAGAGTAATCTAGGTTGTAGATTCTTGCTTTTCATCACTTTGAATACTTCTTGACAGTCCTATCTATCCTGCAGAATTTCTTTTGAGAAATTAGCTGACAGTCTAATGGTAATGTCTTTGAATATAACTATCTGGTTTTCTCTTCCTTCTTTTAAGATCCTCTATTTATCTTTAACCTATGATAACCTGCCAAAACCTAACAAAGAAATATGGCCCAAATGAAAGAACAGATCAAAACTCCAGGTAAAGAGTTACCTAGCCCTCCATCTGGACTGGAAGTTCAAGAGGTTGTTAATTGTTGAAGCTAGATGACAAACACAGAAGGGTTCATTATTACTATTATTCTTTCTATCTCTTTTCTGTTTGAAAATTTATACAATCAAATGTTTTTAAAGTTTTATTTTTCTACTATAGGGGATATAAGTTAGACAATAATTTCATTTTTAATCCCTTTAAATCACTTTATATACAGATCATAAAGCTGGTCTTTATATAATATTTGCACGTGTTAGAAGATTATGTAGAAAAGTAGAAATGTATTATGCTAAGAACTTACTATAATTAGTTATAAGCTCACTAAATTTTTTAAATGACCTACACAGAAAATTTAAAAAGCAAAAAAAAGTCTTATATAAAAGTTAAATGGTCCTGGTGACTCAGAGATATTTATCTTACCAATACTTAGGACAATCCTAACTAATAAGAATTTTTGAGCTAATAATTCCCAAATGCCCACTTCCAGGAATGATTTGCTCCACCGAGACTCTCCCTAATATTCCTCAATCAAAAACATGGCAAAGGTAATGACGATTTGTAAATTAGCTTCAGCAAACTCAATGACCTCTAACAACACACCACAGATCGCTTGTCGGCCTTTTGGCTGAGACCGAGCATAGTATCTGTCCTTCTCTGTCTAACAAGACAGAGGTCAGGATCCTATACCCTACACTTTAATTGATTTTCCCACTACTCTTCTCTTTTTTTATTTTCTTATCCTGCTTTTCTTCTTTTTTCCACTTAAACAAAGCTTGCATTTTAAATGTTAAACATTAAAAACATATCATTGTGAGGATGTTTTCACACTTAAAACATGCTTCATTTCTTAAGTGAAATTTTCAGGCCTTTATCTCTGAAGCCAGCACCTCCAGTCCTCCCCCCACACAAAGTTGTTGACCTAAACGATCAACTGGATAAGAAAAAAAGAAGAAAAAGGCCAAGTCTCCATAATATAAATCCCCTGTTAGACAGTGAGAGAAAAAGTATGATTACCTTTGCTAAATCTATAACAACTTCAGGGAGCTTGGGATATCGTCTTTCAAGAGGTTCCATTTCCTTGATTTCAGGCAACCTTACTCCAGCAAATGCAGGATTTTTATAAAATAGCTCTTGATGTCTTGGGATGAGATTACCTGGCGGTGAGAACAGCACACAGCTCTGTCATTACACATCATGATAGAAACGGCAGAGACAGGTGAGGCGGAGCAGAGAAAAGAGCTAAACACCACTCATGAAGTGGGGCCCTCTCCGCCTGCAAAGTCAACCGAAGACAGTGCTCTCGATGTGGTGGCACCTGGCAGTCTTTATAGAGGTTTCGACATAAATCAATTCTAGGAAACAAACATTCCTATCTCAACATACTCATTTAGAGAAGTTCACATGCAAGTAAACATAGAAGTGAACACTGGGGGACACACAGAAAAAGGAGAGATAAAGAACATTTTAAATTTTTAAAAATATAACTACCAGCACTTCGTTTCTAGCAACAAAGCATAAAAGTGCTGACTAAAACAATGAAAATATTAATAGTCATTTGGCCCAAATCTAATCTAGATAAATCAGTCCTATCATTTAGGAATTTACTTTTTGGTCAACTCATTTTGTAACTATGTCTAAAGTCTGACTTGAGCATTTCATCTTTTTTCTCAACTTCATTACATACCTGAGCATAAAATATATATAAAACTATTATATCATTTATTGAATTTCTAACCTGGAAACTCAAACTCCAACAGTTAAATAGCCCCCGAGTATTTTACCATTATTTCCTTGTTCCAAGCTCTGTCTCTCAACAGGAAGTTAAGAGACTTTGCTCATCTAGCACTGACATTCCACCAAAGCACTAACAACAAAGGTCATATCTGCAACAAGACTGAACTACTTCCAAAGTCTCTGTGTCTCTCAATTTGAAGGTGAGGATGAGGGTGCAGTCGTATAACACCAAATGCTTGTTAACCCATAGGTAATAAGTGAGCATTTGCAACCTCTCTATGTGTGACTTATTGAATGTAAAAGTGAAGATATGTATAACCTTTGCTCTTTACTTGAAGGGCAAGTGGGGCAGTAGGTGGGGCGAGAGCACAACTACACCATACGTCACACCAACCACAGCCAGACTGAGAATGAGTGAATACATATATGAAGTTTTCTTATTTGCTTCCTATTTTGTAAAATCAATGCATAGGAAAAAACACACAGGAAATAAAAACCCTCTAACGCTTAAAATGCAGATGTATAAGCTTACCCAAACACATCATAATATGATATAGCTGATCAATATCAGAATCTCCAGGAAAGAGGGGTTCCCCCATGAGCATTTCAGTTACCAGACAGCCGATGGCCCACACATCAACGGCCCTGAAGGAAAAGCAATGTGGTGTAAAATCTGGCATCCTAATATTTTTACTGTGACTGAATCTGCTTTGCATATTACTATTTAATATTCTAGGTATTGAGAACAGTAGTAGCAAGCGTTAGATTACCTATGAAAAGACATTTTCCTATAAGCCTAAAGAGCTAATTCCCAATTTTATTTAAGTCAGATTTCCAGAAACTTGAATCATGTGACATAGAGAAAAAAAGGCTTATGAAAAGCCACAACAGTTATGTGTACTTTATTCTGAAAATAAGCCTTTTGGGTTTCCATTTAGAACCTATTCACTCTATGTTTACACATAACTCTAACCAGTTAATCAGTCTATCCCACCAGAATGAGGGATATTCTGAAAACTACCAGAAGGAAGCAGTCATTAGGGACACAAGGGCACATACAGTAAGAAGAAGGAGAACTGAAAGTTAGTAGGAGAAAAAAATAGAAAAACTGTCTTTAAAATTAGTCACAAGAACTTAAAGAACGTGCTGGCATCATTAACATAAGGACAACTACCTTGAAATTGCTCAAGGTCATAGCTGAACTATAAAATGATATAAAAGTTATAATATGGCAATAAAATTAGAGCTCAAAGTGATCAAGGAAATATTAAATGATGTGTACTCTGAAAACAGAATTATAGAACATATTTTTTAAAGATTTCTATAAAATCAGTAAAAGTTACAATGCCTTCTTCTTTGATAAATTCATTTATGGAACAGTTTATGTTTTAAAAACATTTCACTCCATTATTTCTACCCCAACCTTTGCCCATTCCACCTTGCCTCATTTCAACAGTCAGATTTAGCCAGTCAATGTTACCTCTCTTTACCAGTGAAATATATGTTCCAAATCACAATAAGAAAAACAAAAAACAAAACAGATGACTTGCTTCCCTTGATTTCCTTACCCTTAAAATAAGTATATTCACCCCAAGTTGTTTCACAAGAATTTTTAAAGAGGAAGAATCAAAATGACAAATCATTTTATAAAGTTTCCTAAATTCAAAACTTCCTTTTAAGGTCAGAAGAATCTTTTCTTGCATTAGAAACATGTTAACCACCCCCTCACCACCATGGTTTCTTACTTGCCATACTTGACATCCCCAACCAATAGTTCCGGAGCTCTGTACCACCGGGTGGCCACATAATCGGTGTAAACTTCCCCAGGGGCTGCCAGTGTCCGTGCAAATCCAAAGTCACATAACTTGACGACGCCAGACTGGGAGACCAATATATTCTCTGGCTTGATATCTCTGTGTATGATCTAACTCAAAAAACAGACATACCATATATTGGCACATCAAGTTAAGCTAATTAATTATATTTTGAACATCTGCCATGTGCAGGTCACTGTTTTTGTTTGCATAATAAACATAAATAAAAGCATATAAAATTGTTCCTGGTTCTTCAAAATCTGAAATCCACTTGGGCAAAACATAATATTTATGCTTAAAATTTTATATAAACAAAGATACTAGATGAGATATATATATATATATATTACTAATTACCAAATCAATTGTTCTGTTAACTAGTGACTGCTCCCAAGACTGAGAGTAAAGCAGTAATTGAAGATTTCGCGGTCAAGGAAAAATTTTATGAAAGGGGTGGGCTGTAAGATAAGCCTTTAACACTAAGAATAGCCTGGATAAATGTCAAAATGAAAGGTCAATCCAAGTGAAGGTAACAAAGAGAGGAAAAGGGTGCAGACAGAAATAGGTCAGGAGACTCTGGAGAAATGTCACTTCCCGAGTAGAGGTTATGCACTAGGGAGGAAGGATGCCTCAACTGCCAGCCTGAGAAGTCTGAGCTTCTGTCGAGGCTCTGGGAGCCCATGGAAATGGCCTGACCAATAAATGTTTATAGATGTTGGCCATAAACAAACTAAGTCAGAGAGAGGCACTAAAGGCAGGGAAAAGAGCAGAGGGACAACTAAGAGATAATAAGGGCCTAAATCAGGCTGGTGCTCAGAGGAACGGAAAGGAAGAGACATAGTTTAGAAATATGTTAAATCAACCACCTGTAGAGCTTAGGAAGTAATCTCAGATATTTTCTTTAAACCAAGGAATTGAAAAAAATGGTGGCTTCATTACCAAAAATTAAAGTCTAGAAAAAATCAATTTTGATGGAATGATTAGTAGTTTAGTTTTAGCCACAGGGGCTTTTATGTAGATTGCCAAGTACCTAAGTGGAGAAATTATTCAGGCAATTAGAAATGTAAAGAGGGTCAACAAGGTCAGAGGTCAAGGTTTCTAAAAGAGAAAATATGGACACTAGGAGAGAATACTAAAAATTCTATAGTTAGGCAAAACAAAATATTAGACCTAATTCTCTAATACAAGAAAACTATATTTTGAAAAAAAAAATTTTAATATACGTATTGTTAAAACTCTTTCAGAGTACCAGCATCCTAAATGGCAACCTAAATGCCATGGTTAGGCATTTTGCATAGGCTACCAACGTCCTTTACATCCTAGACATCCATGGCAAGCTCAAAGGGCCAGCCCACATCCATTACCATCTATTACTTTTATAATCACACAAAAAAAATCATGTACAATAATTTGTAAAACTGGAAGAATAAGTGTGTTAAGCCATTCCTTTTGCCTAGAGGTGCTTTTATATGATATGCTAAAAATATAAAATCATTGTGATAGACTATAGGGTAAGAACAGGGATTTTTATGCTGCACAACTCTGAGAGAGAATCTGAGCTAACCTGTACATGGATCCTTGGGTGTACACATTTGTCAAAACTCATCACTTAAAATTAGTGCATTTCACTCAGTAAATGTCATCTCAAAAAAAAGCAAATATGAAACTGTAGTTAATATGCATGGCTGAAGTATTTAGAGTTGATGTGTACTGATATCAATAATTTATTTATGGATACATAAATAAGACATTAATAGATAGATAAATATATGAATTGATAAACAAATACATCATAAAAATACAGCAAAATATTAACAAGTATATAATCCAGGTGGTACGTATATGGGTGTTCATGGCACTCTGTCAACTTTTCAGTATGGCCTAAACTTTTCCTTATAAAATGCCTGGGGAAAGGATACATGTACTGTGACACATGAAAACTGGCCATATCAAAGTAACAGGTCATTGCTATGACTACTGGTCCAAACTTTACACAAGTATCTCATTTACAAGTTGCTTATGACATATCTAGAGCGTCAATCATTGGCAAAATAATTATTTAAACTAAATACTTACATTGTGACTATGACAAAATCCAATTCCATTAATAATCTGAAACAAATACTTTTGAACTACTTGGTAGTCTAGTCCATTTGGAAAGAGTTCCAAGTCATCCAGAATGGTATGGTCAACAAACTCAAAGACTAGGTACCATCGTTTTTTTTTCTTACACACTTCCAAAAGATTCACCAGGTTTTCATGCCTCAGTTGCTGTTATTAAAAAAATGCAAAAATAGTTTTTATAGGATCAAATGATTAGCAATTAGTCACAATCTAAAACAGATCTTAGTGTAAGAAAGACATAAATAAAATGCACAAACAGTATACATTATAAACATATAGTCTGTTTTTAAAATTATAGTTAAAAGACCACATTGCTCTGTCATCCTCTCAGAGAGACAGTAAAGCCAATGAGGAAGAGAAATATAGTTCCATCTGATGAAACCAAGTAGGATCTATGACCCCTACCCACAACAAATGAGGTGAAACTGCCAACGCAGTCAAGGTTTAGGAAGATACCAAGAGATCATCTGTGGCCACGAAGCTGGCAGAGTAGAGTTCTCCAAGGCTGGTGACATGCCCTAAAAAGGAAAAACAAAACAAAACAAAAAAAGCCAACCTTCCAAAAAATCAAGTTTCCAGAAAATAAAACTAACTTATGCTGACTGCAGTCAGGCTAGATGTGGCCTGAGTAGAAGAGGAAGGCAAAGGCAGCAGTGGCTGGAGAAGACATGGCGGGGGCAGGGGGGAGGGGGGCGCAGGGGGAGGGGGATGCTTCCGGGGCTATTCTACTATTCTCTGTCTTAGTTTAGATTGGGGTTACATTGGGTTGTTCAGTTTTTGTAAAATCCAGATACATTCTTATGATATGTATACTTTTGTACATGTATCTGTCAATAAATTTGGGGGGTAAAAAAAAAAGATCCAGCCCTGGCTGAAATGGCTGTAGGCCTGCAAACCAAAGGTTCGATTCCTGGTCAGAGCACAAGCCTGGGTTGCAGGCCTGGTCTGCAGCTGCAGGCATGTGAGAGCAACCACACATTGATGTTTCTCTACCTCTCTTTCTCCTTCCATTCCCCTCTCCCTAAAAATAAATAAATAAAATCTTTTTTTAAAATCGAGATATAAAAAAACAGATTTATAAAAGCACAGCCACTGGACTGACAGCTGACTTCTCAAGAGCCTCAATGGAAGCCAGAGAATGAAACAATGTTTTCATTTTGTTACAAGAAAATAATTGCTAACTTAAACTTCCATACCCAGCAAAAATATCCTTCATAAATAATAACAAAATAAGGACATTTTCATGTAAATTAAAATTGAGTGTTTTATCTACAGTAGATCCTCACAAAAGAAAATTTTTAACAAGGGAAGAAATCACATAGAAATAATCTTAGATGAAGAAAAGAAGGATGAACAAAGAAAACAGTGAAAATATATCTAAACAAAACTTAACAATACTTATGTTTTCTGGTGTTTAAAATATATATATAATGGTTAATGTATGACAATATTAGCATAAAATATAAAAGAGAATAACCAGAGATAAGTATCACAAGGTTTGGAAGAAGGATAAAAGTACTGGATATTGTTAAACTTTAATAAATATGTAGGGTAACCACTAAAAGATAGAAAAATATATAATTTTCTAATTATTTGAAGGAAGTAAATGATAAATATAGTCAATCCAAAGACAGGAAGAAAAAAAGAATACAGAACCACTAAGACAAATAGTATATTTTAATTTGGGTAGATTTATACCCAAATATATCAGAACCTATATTACAGGTAGATGGACTAACTATTCAATTAAACTGCAAAGATTGTCAAACATGATAAAAATCAAAATGCAACTATATATTCATAAGAGACACATATAAACAAGGACTGAGAAAAACTGAAAGTAAAAAAAATGGAAAAAAATATACTATGCAAACACTAACCAAAATTAAACTGGTATAACCTTATCAGTTTCAGACAAAAAAGACTTTTAAGAAAAAACCACTACTATAATAAAGTTATTCCATGAAATAAAAGATTAGATTAAACATGAACATATAAATTTGAAATATAGTATTCTACACTAATAATATGGCCTTTCTGTTTATAAAGTTAAACCTTAACTTAATTACAATGAAACAAGGAGAAATCAATAACCACCGAGGAAGATTTTAACATATTCCTTTTCAGTATTGGGTAAAACAAGCACACACACAAAAAAGTTAGTGAGAATTTAGAAGATTTAATCAACTCAAGTACTAAAGCTAAGTTAATGAAATACTTGTCAAGCACATGACGTATTATTTGTTTTCTATATTCATAACCAAAAAAGCACGTATCAAGAAATTTCAAAGGAATAAAATCTTACATAGTATATACTCAGATCACAGAACAATTGTGTCACAAGTAAAAAACCAGGGGAGGAAAACATAGAAAACTTCCACATGTTTGGAAATTAAGAAAAATAAGAAAATATTTTAAACTGCCAATCAAAATTTCTGCAATATGTACCAAACTGTTCTGAGAGGAAAATTTATAGCTTTAAATGCATAAATGAGGGCAGGGGAGCTGGAAATATAAGAAATAAGCATCTATATCAACAGGTTAGGAAAAAGATTTTACCCACTCAAAGTAAGTAAAAGGAATGAAAAACTAAAGGACAAAAACATGAAATAGACAAGAAATACATAATAGAGAAGATCAATAAAGCTAAATATTGGTTCTTTCTAAAGACAGATAAAATTGATAAACTTCTTATAAGACAGATTAAAAAGAGAGAGAGAGAGAGGATGAGAGAGAGAGAGAGTTGAGCTAACATAGCGGGCTTGAGACTGCCATCCTTAGACAGATCTGCTTACAAAGTGAGCCTTTGGCCAATACCTAGGAACTTGGATTTCAGGAGGGTTCCTTTCACTTCCAGAATTGATAAAAATGGCTCAATTTGCAAACGATACTGTTTATACTGAATACCTGCATTCCTTCTGGTAGTCTGGAATTTTGGTATGAGCCAGGCAGAAGTGCCTACATGACTAGCCACCAATAAAAATCTTGCACACTGAGTCACTAATGAATTTCCTTCGTAGACAATATTTCACATGTGATATCCCAACTCCTTGCTGAAGGAAATAAGTGCACCCTGTGTGACTCCACTAGAAGAGGATTTTTGGAAGCCTGTATCAGGTCTACCTCTGAAATTCACTCCATGTGCCTTCTCCATTTCCTGATGTTGCTTTGCATCCTTTGTCTGTGTTAAGTCACAGCCATGAGCACAGCGATTGCTGAGTGCTGCAAGTCCTCCCAGTGAATCGCTGAGCCTTGCAGTGGTCTTTGAAACTCCCAATACAGATGATAACTAGCTAGCTCTATCTAGCTAGGTAGGTAGGTAGATAGACAGATACAGAGAAAAGCAACAAATAGTTCTAAAATTATGTTTATATTCATGTTATAAATGAATATTCATATATAATCATTTTATTTATTGTCACAAAAGAAATTTATACTTTAAACAGTAATTTCTCCCCAAAATGTAATCTTGATCAACAACTAATTTTTTAAACAATATATGTATTTACTCACCTTTAGTAACTTGATTTCTCTCATAGCAATTTTTTTAACCATTTTGTCATCATCACTTTCTAAGAACTTCTTGATGGCTACAATTCTTCCACTATCTTTATTCCTACACTTCATCACCATTCCGTAACTCCCTTCTCCAACCAATCCTAGGTTCTCATATTTTTCCATTTTGATTCAAAACTAGGAGAATTTTTTCTTGCTGTAGAAACCAAAACATAGAACTTAATAATGCTGAGTATGTTGATATTCCCCACTGTCTCAGCAAATTAGTTTTTCCCCAACTTGTTTTCTATATTAGGGCAGTCACTGCGTTGATGGCTCTCCTTTGCTGTCTCGCAATTTCTTATGGTTTCCAATTGTAAGTTATGTTTTCAAAATATTCATATTCATTTCATAACACAATATAAATGCAATAGAAGTCATTAACTTTAAAATTAAATGGCTAAATGTCATGTTAATAAAATTCAATATATTTTAAATTCAGATAAAGAAATACTTGAACTATAGTACAAAACAATTATAGCTCACTTCACAAAAACACAATTTCTTTTCCCTCGAAGGTGGAAAAGGCACAGTGAATTTGGCTTTGTGAAGATCATGTTTAATTTTTCTTTTTACATCAGGATTTAAAAATCAAAGTTGAAAATTTTTATAGATTCTCTACTGAACTGGGAAAAATATTTATTCACAAATTGATCACTTACCAAGTAAACACTAAGAATCTTTAATAAACTTTTTTCCGTTACTTTTCTTACTATAGTAATTAAATTCCTATGTTGAATTTATAAAATAACAGCAATGATATCACAGTATATGGGCAGACTTTTAAAAATGAAATAGTAGTGCCAAATACAGCATTTCAAAACTCCTTTTAATGATTAGTCATTATGAGAATGACCACTTGAATTTTGTGTTTAAAATTCTTTTATATTCCCATTACATGTGATTTTCTAGATAAAGACAATCTTAATAAAATTTTTCTTATTTCACCCAGAAAAAAACCTCTTCAGCCACAAAACAGATTTTAATTCATCAGTTTTTATTGCCATGAATTATAAAGGCTAATAAACTACAATTTCAAAGTTAAATTTTTTTTTAAATCTGGTGTTGCAATTAAATTCTAGAACCAAAAAGTAAAAAATATTGTTCTTAATCCCAATATGGTCCTAAAAGTTTGTGGAGTAAAAAATATCATTAGGTAACTATGTATTCAAATAATGATTCAAAGTGAAACTTTTAAAAATCTGACAATACAAAAATACTCATTCATAAAACTTAGGGAAAAAACATTCTCAACTCTTACATTTTGTATTTATGACAATCTAAGACTAATTTACCCAGACTGTGAATTGTGATGTTTTACTTGTTTCCCCTTTTGGTACACTGATGACAGAGACAATACAAATATCCTCTTCATTCTAGCAAACTATGATAATCCAATGAATACATTTTTAGCATTATACATGTAGTAATTTCGGCATTTTAAATATAGATATACATGGAACCAGAGATTGATCTGGGGGTGAGGGGGGTGAATGAAAATAAATCCTAGTCACCACCAACTCAAATTATTTCACTTTTTTACTACCAGCTTTGATAATAGGTTCTACTATAAACTCTTTACACAGCAGTGTCCCAACACTATTTTCCTTTCCATACATTTGACGTTTTAACTTTTATTTAATGTCTATTAACTATTGAAAAAAAACTTCTCAAAGTAATTTTATGTCTTCATTCTGCAATTATTTTTCCCTCCACTAAGACAGTATGTTTTATCAAAGACTAAACTTTAGGTTTATCATGTCAAGGACAAACATAGATGGAGTCTATAACTTGCATCATTTAAAAACATTTTGCAACTGGTATCCTCAACATTTGAAAATGCAAAGTAAACAAAATTAGAATTACCATGAACATCTAAAATGTTCTGAAGCATATCATAAGCTAAGATTATATAAATTGACTACTCAAAATTTATTCTTGCAGCCAACTGCACACTGGGTCACGGCACATTGAACTTACCTATTTTACAAGTGGCACTGCCTGAAAATACCTCAAAAGTATCACAGCTTAAAAAGCTTCTTGTTTCCTGAAACAGTTACTCTTAAACCATAAGTTTTCATGCCTTCTACTCCTGAATGTAAGGGTAATACAAACGAAGCCTGGCGATTGGCAATGTGGTATTTCTGTATGTGTGCCATGTAAGCATATGGTTCCAATACCAACGATTTAGAATACCAACAATTTAATTTGGATTAAAATAATGCTAATTTTTTGTTGTGTTAAAGAGACTGAAATCTATTATACACGAAAGAGCGAGATAATGTAAGACTTTAAAAGTATATACTTACTGTTTCTTTAATATCCTCTCACGTGGAAAGACCCAAAGGTTTTCAACTTGGAAACAAATTTGAGCTGAAATTCATCTCGCTCGCAGGTATAAAGGATGCTGATTAGCAAACTACCAATGTTAGTGCTAATACGATTCCTTAAGCGGACACAGTCACCGATCCCAGGTGAAGCAGGCACGGAGGCATACTGGCCTCGGCCCGCCCCAAGCTCACACTCCAGAGGACCACGGGCCGCATGCTGTCGTCGTCAAGGCAACGACCTCACTCCGGCGCCAACCATAGGCACAAAGTCTCCAGAGAGAGATACGGCCCAGGTAAAAATGCGTCCACGCTAGGCACGGACACCTGTTAAAACCAAGGCTTGTAGAGAAATTAGCTGGGGTGGGAGAGCACCTTCTCCTAGCTCGAAAGGTGCCCAGTCCCTGGATTCTGTGAACCTGCTCTGCTACGGCTAGCCCTGGGCAAAGGCGTTGGCCACCCAGCTGCAAGGGGGCGGGTCCTTACCCTGCGCCAAGCATCCGGTGTTATGATTGGCTGCGTCTTGTCGTCATGAGCTGTGATTGGCTTAGCGCCAACCACCCTTCCCCTACACCTGGGCTCCGCCCGGGTTCTGTTCGCTGAGGTGCCCGCAGCAGCTTCTGGACACAACTATATTCTCAAGTAAGGAGATAGCTTTCTGCCTTCGTCGGCAGACTTCTCCTCGTTAATGAGGGCAAGAGACGATTATGGTGCTCACCGAGAGGGTGAAAGTAGTAGTGGTTTGTAGGACTGGGAGAAAAATGGAAGAGGGAGACCATGCCAAGAGCGCGAAGAAGGGTTCCCCACAGCTTCCCATCGCGGGAGGGGAATGGCCCCCGACGCCGTCACTCAGGAGGGTTCGGTGTGAGCGTTGGGGTCAGTTTGGGCCAGGTAGGGGATGAGGGTATCAGTCTAGAAAGTGATGATTAATAGGTGAGTCAAGGTTAAAGTAGGTGGGTGACGACAGAACTGACGTTCGGAGGGACACTGAGGATAACCTGGGCACTGAAGATGAGGGAAATGGAGATAAATGAACGAAATAAAAGGGCTAGGGTGGTTGGAGACCTAGAAGAAATGAACACTGGCCAATGGCAGCTAAATAGGGTGCAGTTGGGGGTTCCGATCTTTAAGCACAGACCAACTCGATCCATATATAACCAGGCAGGACTGGTAGGTCAGAGTCATGCCCATGATGAGGTCAAAGAAACAGAGTGTTACTCATTTTCAAGAAATTTGGAGTTTAGGCCATGCCCCTGCAGTGAGGAGGCCGTCAGAACTGTTATTTTCACATTAAACCATGAAAACTAAACATTTTATAATCATATTTGGTCTCTGTCGATCCAATGAAGAGTACTCTGGATAGCATATATTTATATCCATAGTCAATACTAAGGTATTAACTCCTTTTATATACTAATGAGCATTTGGTTTATAAATTGACCTTTTGTGAGTTTGGTTAGCATGAATTAATCTCCCAGTGCTTAATCACCATGATCGAACTGCTTAAAATCTAGTGCCTGAACCTGTAATACTGACCAGACCTAGGACCTGGCTATGGGAAGAATATAATTCTTTGGTCAATCCAAGATATATGTCTCGATATAGTAATTAGCTCTATTCTTTGCTGTGACCAAGCTGGAGGGGGTCATGCCCAATTTTGTTACCTCTATAGGATATATGGGCAGATCCCCTTTATAAAGTGGCAAATCCAGGTTTTGGGGGGATGAAACTTGACAAAAATGCAAAAATATTTTTGCTTTTGCAATTTTACAAAAAGATTCAACATGATCACATTTTCCCCTCACCAGAGATTTTTTCATTGTTTTTAGAGAGAGAGGAAGGGAGAGAAACATTGATATGAAAGAGAAGCATTGATTAGTTGCCTTCCTAATGCACCAAGACAGGGCTTGAGAAAATTTTTAAAACAACTGAGTTTAAAAGCCAACTGTAAAGGAGATGGGATATTCAAGAATTAAACATCCTGGGTGAAGTCACTGACATTTTTGCTAAAGAAGGGGGTAGCATTATGTAGATGCAGGATTAGGTGGTGGTGTTTTTTTGTTTTGTTTTTTAATAGGGAAATCTTTGTAGGGAAAAAGAATGGAAAGGCTTTAAAGAGGTAAGAAAAGGAGTAATTAATGAAAAACCAAGGACAAGTAGTGAAGAGAAGGTAATAAAGTATAAAAAGGGGCTTAGCTTTGAAGAGTGTTAGAGAAAAGGAGTTTAAAGAAAAACTGAGAAAGTGTTGGGCAGACACTTCAGCTGGCCTTGATCTTCTCAGCCAAATAATTCATATCAAAGGAATTCAAAATAGTAAATGTGCCCACTTGAAACCAACTGGCTGTTTCATGGGATTTGGCATCTGCAAGGACAAGAATGGAGAAAATAGATAGTATGTAAGATACCTTTTAGAGAATTTGTAGCACAGATTAAACAAAGGAGTTAAGAAATCAAGGATGATAAAGAAAGCACCGCTGCCCTGGCTGGGTACCTCAGTTGGTGAGAGTGTCATCCCAATATGCCAAGGTTGTGGGTTCAAATCCTGGTCAGGGCACATACAAGAATCAACCAATGAATGCATAAACAAGTGCAAAAACAAATTGATGTTTCTTTTTCTCTGAAAATAAATTTAAAAAATTTAAAGAAAGCACTATTGAAATGGCTTGCCGTGAGTTCCAGCTACATAGGAAGACAAATGATCACAGGAGTTAGCAAATAAACTAAAAATACAAAGGCACTGAGAGAAGGTCATCACAGGCATGAAGAATAAGTTTAAAAGGAGTGAAATAGGAGAAAACATTAGTCAAAGGAATCGATTGTGAATTTAAGATCTTAGAAAAGGCACTATCTTCATCAATTGGATTCAGAGCTGTATCTTGGAGGATTACTCAGTAAAAGTTGGAACTAACATCAGGAGCAAAATTGGAACCTCCCCTTTGGATCTGGGAAAACAGTAAGAATGTAATATTGTCATGCAATTCTGTAGTTGACGTGTTACTTCCATGATCTCTATGAAGCTGCTGATAAAGGTTTCTTACCTACCAGATTCTTAAAGTGTAAGAAAACTCCTACCTTAGAAAGGCAACAATGTTCTTAGAAATTGAGGCTATTATTGATCTTGGCCACCAAAAGCAGCTGTGTCTGTGTCAAGTATTCTTGGTGGGTGGCTGCCAGCATTTTTCATGAAAGCTCTAAACAACCAAATAACATGCTTCTCCTCCACTCCCACCCTGCTGTAGTTCCTCAATTACTATTTTTGTGTGTTTGCTTAATCAAGTTGTAGCTGCAAAAAAATCTTAGAAATGGCACAAAACGATCAGTTCTCAGTTCTAAAGGGTGGAATGTTTGGCTGTTCTTTTGGGCAGCTGAAGTTTAGTAAAAAATGTCATGGAAATTAAGTTTAAAGAAACCGAGGCCACAGAATGAAAAGTCACGAGCTTTTCATGAAAAAGCATGGACAGCAGGGAAAGAGGTTGAGAGGGACATTATAATATAATCTAAAAATCTAAAGAAAACAGTATGTATGGGAGGACATGAAGTTGGCAACCAGAAAGTTTGAAAGATGGTAAAGAATTAAAGGTTAGAAGAGACTAAGGATTATATGACTCATCAATTCCATTCCTAGGTGTATACTGAAGAAAAATGAAAACATTCATATAAAAACTTGTACATGAATGTTCATAGCAGCATTGATCTTCATAATAGCCAAAAAAGTGGAACTCAAAATGTCCATCAACTGATAAATGGGTAAATTTGGTATATCCATGCAATGAAACACTACTCAGCCACAAAAAGGAATGAAGTACTTATAGAAGCTATGACATGGATGAACTGTGAATGTTATGCTAAGTGGAAGCCAGACATAAAAAGGCACGTATTATGACTCCACCTATATAAAGTGTCCAGCACAAGCAAATCACAGAAATAAGTAGTAGATTAGTGGTTACCAGGGGCTTCAGGGAAGATGGGAATGAGGAGTGACTACTAATGGGCATAGGGTTTCTTTTTAGGGTGATGAAAATGTTCTGAAATTAGTGATTTTACAGAACTTTTTATTTATTTATTTATCTTTAGAGGGGAAGGGGAGAGGGAGAGAAACATCAATGTATGGTTGCCTTTTGTGTGTCCCCTGCTGTGAACTGGCCTGCAGGGAACCTGCAGGGAACTGGCCTGCAACCCCGGTATGTGCCCTGACTGGGAATCGAACCGAGATTCACAGGCCCACGCTCAAGCTCAGTCTGGTTCGCAGGCCCACGCTCAATCCACTGAGCTCCACCAGCCAGGGCTTACAGAACTTTTTTAGTAAATACACTAAAAATCACTGAATTGTACACTTTAAAAGGGTGAATCTTATGTATGTGAATTATGTCATTTACAAAAGAGACTACAGAATACGAAATTTGTCGCCTCCCCAGAAATCTGCCTTTTAAAATATTATTTTAGCATAGGTAGACCAATTCTCCTCCTCACATTAGCAGTTATCTGTTAAATGGCTCTGGCAACAATCATTTTCTACATATCTTAGTATCCTTAAACAATGTGTTTAGGTGCTTTGTTGCGGGGGGCACGGTCAAAAACCTCACTTAGGTCCCATGAGTTAGATTAGTCATGGATTTTTGGCATCACCTTGAGTCACCGGTGAATAAAATCTTCAGAAGGGCATAAAATCTTCAGAATACAAAAACTAAGATTCTTTTCAGTATAGTATATAGAGCATACAGGTATGAATACACTCCATCATTCCACTAAGAAAATGGACTGACTCATTTTAAAGTTCTGGTTCTTTGATAGAAGGACACTTGCCACAGAAAAGTAAACTCTGTTCTCAATCTGTCAGTTGATTTGATGACATCATTACATTTTAAGGAGATTAAGACAACTAGAATTTGGAAACCTAAGTACAATATACCACTTATTTTACCAAGTTCACCATAGAGTATGCTTTGATCTATTGGTCAACAAAACATCTATATCATATAGTGTGAACCTGGGAGAAGTCCCATTTCATAAATGATAAAAATAGTATACATTCCGTTTGTACTGGTAACATGCCTTATCATCTTATAAAACTTCCCCTTAACATTCCATCTCTCTCTAGCCTCTCCCAGATTTCTGTTCATCTTTGTAGCAAACTGCAGGAAAAGTGCATTCATTTCTTACCTCCTGTACTCTTGGGCTTCCACCCTTATCACTTCACTGAAATAGTCCTTCATCAAGTCATTATGACCTATATCCAGCCATTTGTAGCAGAGATAACTAGTTACAATAAGCTGGTTCTCTTCTTCCTGTGTGTATGGCTTGTTTCTTTTGTACAATCTCTCTTGCAGTTATGAGTGGTCACATGACTGAATTCTAGGCAATGGAATATGAGATGTGCACCATTTCCATTTTATGTGTAACATAAAAATCTCCATTCAAGATTCCCTATGTCCCTTTTCCCTTCCAGTTAGCTACAGTGGAGATAACTAGTGTGATCTTGTAGACTGAAGTCAATAGAAACTTGATCTGTGTCCCTACATAAGTGGGGAAGGGCCATACCACTGACCTCTTCATTACCACTATTTTTTTATATGAGGGGTAAATAAACTATTGTTTGAGCCACCAGACATCTTGAGGTCTATTTATTATAGCAGTTAGCACACCCGGATTAATCTGTCTTATTGGACCCCTCAATAGCATTTGAATCTACTACCTATTTCCTTTTGTGATAAACTCTTGAAACTTAGCTTTCCATGACACAAATTTGGTCCGATCTTCTTTCCCTCACTTTTCTGTTTGTTTTGCATGCCTATACTAGAACTCGAATTTGGGGACCGAGGGCTCAGTACTCAGCCTCTTCCCTGTACACTTTCTCCCTGGAGGAACTCATGTAATCCAGTAGTCACAAAGATCAACATGGACAACTCACAGCACCAAGCTCTCCTCGGAATCCCAAAATCACAGCATATGATATTCATTCTTGGACATCCAACTGGCATATGAAACGGTATAGCTAATGAAGCAGACTGTTGATCTTCCATAATCCACTCCCACTCCTCCTCTCCTGCATCAAAATCCAAGAAATCCCTAAAATACTGTCTTTCCCTCACATTCAAGTCCAATACATAAGTCTTGTGAGTTCTATCTCCAAAATAAATCTTATCAGCTAACCATTTATCACCATCTTCACTGCTACAACTCTAACCAAGCCACCATCATCATTAGCTGGCATCTTTCTCCCTGACAGGCCCCTCACTGATTCAGATTATATCACTTCTCTGTTCGGTTCCCTGCAACCCCAGGACAAGAGTAAAATCCAAACTACAAGGCCCCCCTCAAACTAGCTCTTACCTACCTCTTGGTACCATCATACTTATTGTCATGGCCACACTGGCCTTTTTGCCCTTGAATACAATAAACTTTCCAAAGGATCTCTGCATCTGACCTTCCTCCTTTTGGGAATGTTCTTCCTCCAGATTTCAGGACTGCCTTCATTTCAGACACCAAATGTACCTCTTCATTGCTACCTCTGATAATGATTAACAGTCCCATCTCCAGTCACTGTTACAATCTCTACCTCAACTAGTTCTGTCCATTACCCACATTATCTTGGAAAAGTAGCTAATCCCACAGTGCTTGAGTTAACCCTTCTGCAAAACTAGTACTGCTCCTCAAAGGCCTGCTGTTTAGAACTAAGTTGTGTTGTGCCCAGGACTAATCAGGACTAGTATTACTCATTTACATAGTTGTTGCCTCCCTCCCTAAAATAAAAAACAAGTTTCCTGACAGTAGGCTGTGCCCTCTGTATTGCCAGCCATCATCTAGGTTTCTGGCTGATATCAGATGCTAATATTCACTGGAATACAAGTCTTTTGTCACTTAATACATATTTGTTACATAAATGCTTTGAAACATCACTGAGTCATTTCTGATGTAACCTCCATCCAATGAAATTTCTCATATCTGTTTTCTATATCAAAGCCACTATCCTCATCACCATGTGCCACACAGTTTTGGTTCTTCACCTCTCCAAGCTTTGGTTAATTTTTTTTAAAACTTAGGGTTATCTGATTAAAGATTTAACAGTAAAATGACAGGACCTTAAAGACTTTTTTCTGCATTCAGAGACTCACAGTATTTGACAGGTATTTCATTTGTTTCAAGTCTCTCCTCTCTCATTACTTATGACTGTGCTTTCCGAATGTAGCTGCTGATTAAGGGGACATTAATATTAGGCCTGCTAATGCTGGAGGTTATTCTACAATTTTCTAAAATAAAGCCAGGAAATATGCAGTGCATTTAACTTTCTGATATTTAAAACCCCTTTTCTAAAAGTAAGTAACTCATCCTTTAGAGCAGATCATCACTTTCAGCTAATCCAGTATTTCAAATCATTTCATACTAGTGTGACATCCTTTCTAAGCCTTACTCATTGGAGGTAGACTAGATAACTATATTCAGTTTGCCAAAATTTTACATCAGATGTAAAACTACCAGCAGTGATTCACAGTCCTCAAATATTGCAGAATATTCATTTTAGATATAAACAAGAGTAAAGATAACTACTTATTGGTTACACTATTTTCAAGTAGAAGTATCTGCTTGTCATGGACTTCTCTTTATGCTAACTATCCAGAACTTGAGTCATTCTCAGTTCCTTTCAAGATACCTCCTAGATTCAGTTGCCAAATAAACGAAACCCATTCCTTCCCTCATGTCTTCAACCACATCAGGTCTATCAATTTTCCTGTTTGTTTATCCCATCTATCTTCTACAAGGATATCATGCCAATGCTGAATTCTCTTTAATGGTTTGCTCTTGCAATTAGAAAAAAATCCAAACTATGTCCTTACCCTAGCAGATTACGTAATGTAGTCCCTACTCTCCTACCCTGCCACTTAGTATTTTGCCATCCCTTGATGCAACCCCATGTACTCTAGCCTCTTATCATTACCAAGGTTTTCTTTTACAGGCTTTACAAGGGGACTCCCCAAAACCAGAAACATGAAAATTTGTGGTTATTCTTCTGCCACCTTCAATGTACTCTATTTAATGGTAATACACCCATCAAGACTTTTTCCCACTGCTCAATTTTTTGAGTTCATCAATTTTGATGACTTGCAGTGCTGCTGCCATTTTTTTGTTTCACCTCTTCCACATCAGCAAAATATTTCCCTTTGAGGGTTTCTTTCATTGGGGAAGAAAAAAAAAAAAAGTTCCCGGGGAAATCATGTGAATAGAGGGTGGAAGCATGGAGGTCATGCCATTTCTGAAGCAGATGGGTCAAGAATTCATGTGGGGAAAGGCTCAACTCTCAGCTCAGTGTGGGCAGGGACACTTGTAAATCACCCATTGTGAAAAGGGTAAGTGTGCTGTCTTCAAAGTAATTTCACTGAAGCTGAAAGTAGCCTCCACAATGCCAGCTGGTACGGATGCAGATGGGTTCCTGGAACGCTCACCTAGTGGGGAAGCTTGCACAAGCCTGCCCTCCAGAAGATAATTCTACTTTTCTCCCTCTCAGGTCCCACTTCATACATTAGCTAGTCTTTGAAAGGCACGCTCCCCAGTTCCCTATCAATTCTACAATGGGTGACTGAGGAACACCCTATCACTTCACCGAACGTTCCCAAAACTCATTTTGACCTATATTCTGCTACTCAGTTGCTTTGTATTATCTTCTCCCCACATTTACAACTACTTGTACAATGAAAGAAACACACATGCCAAGGTATTTATAGGGACCATCTATGAGTTAGATTGTGGGAGTTCTTTCAATTATCTGTATTTTCTTTAGATTTTTTTAAAAGATTTTATTTATTTATCTTTAGAGGGGAAGGGAATTAGAGGGAGAGAAACATCAATGTATGGTTGCCTTTTGTGCATCCCCTGCTAGGAACTGGCCTGCAACCCAGGTATGTGCCCTGACTGGGAATTGAACCGCGATCATGTGGTTCGCAGGCCTGCGCTCAATCCACTGAGCTACACCAGCCAGGGCTTTCTTTAGATTTTTAATACCACCACTCTAGTATTGGATTGGCAAAAAAATTCATTTCGTTTTTTCCATACGGTGGCTCTAGTAGTGCTTAGTTTATCTTTCACTCCATTTGAAACAATTGTTAAGAGTGTATTTTAACTCATATCAGCATCCATTTAAGAAAAACTTAGCAAAATTGGTGAAGTTTTGTGCAGCCACTTTAATATTGAAGATGGAAGATATGCAATGTTTTCAGCGTATTATGCTTTACTACATCAAGGAAAATAAAACAACCGAAATACAAATAAAATATCTGTGCAGTGTATGGAGAAGGTGCTGTGATTGATCAAATGTGCAAACCACCCTTGGGTGGTTTGCGCAGTTTCTTGGTACTATTGACATTTTGGCCAAATAATTCTTTGCTGTGGGGATGTTGTATGTGTTGTTAGATGTGCAGCAGCACCCCCGGTCTCTGCCCACTAGAAGCCGGTAATGGGAGATAGCTGAAATATGCAAAACATCCAAATTAGTACCTATTGGCACAAATGAAAAAACTGTCTTTTGTGGAAAAAAACTAATTGGACTTTTTGGCCAACTGAATACAAGTTATTACTATAACTCTAGCATCATAGCTATTGGCTGAAATATTGTAGCATTCTTTTACCTGATTTACTCAATTCATTACTGAACTACAATTTTACTCGTTAGCCAGACATTTCCTAATAAAATTATCATCTCCTTTCCTCCCCCCACTTGCCAAACCCTTCAACTTCCCACTGCTCCAGAGATAAAGACCAACCTGCTTAAGGCCAACAAGGCACCCATCGTTCTGCCCCTAGTTACCTTCTTAAATATGGACCCATTCACTCTCCATAGAGTTCGAGCCTTTTAGCCTGACAGGAGGAAACCCTGTTTATTATTACCAGTGGTACCTAGAACACTTAGAACAGTACTTGGCACTTAGAAGCTCAATAGTTAAATGAATTAGATGAACCAGGGGGAGTTAATCACAACAGCGTGAACAAGTTTTCTTGCAGCCTGAAAAAAGGATGGGAGACATATTGAGAACAGACCAGATTTCAAACATTTCTAGATTAAATAGGCCAAAAAAACAGAAATGTTCATCAGAGAGCCAGATATGCATTAAGTCACTTAGGAGGAGAAAACATCACTTGGACATCCCAATTTTAAATTGTCTAGGACTTCAAAAAGGGATATGGCAAAAAGAATTTTTTAAAAAGATGCGTATGAACCACAGGATAAGCAGAATTGCAATTGAAATAAAAAACAGTAATAATTTATACTTGCTCAAGGCCCACTACATTGTTTTTAGGTGCTTTATGCACTAAACCCTCACAACCACCCACCACATTTTATAAAGAACACAGAAGCAAAGAAAAAGGATAATCATTGAATGGTGGAATTGTCGCTCAAGCTCAGGCTATCTATCTTCAAAGCCCTCCTCTTAACCATTCTACTGTACAGAATCTACAAAATGGACAATATATTGAAGCAAGTTAGGGCCAGGCCTAAATGAAACCACCCAGATAAAGTCTGTGGGTAAAAGAAGAGATTCAGCACAAATAGAATTAGGAGATGGGGGCATTGTTATGGGATGATAAGAGCAAGTACACAAAATAAGAGCAGTTAAAATATTATTGTCACCAAAATGAAAGCATTCTAAATAGGCAGCCAGCTTTGTCAAAACTCTTAAGAAATCAAGGGGGGGGAGGGGGAGGATTCGGCAACTGTAATTGCACAACAATGAAAAAAAAAACCAAGGACAAAGAGATCAGTTAATTTGGTAATAGAAGGGTAGTAATCTTTCTTTAAATGTTTTATTCTAAACTTCCATTTGTGGTATTTTTGCCCAGGATTTGTTAATGCTAAAACCAGACTATCTCCTATTAATTCTGAAACATGTTAAACATAAAGTACATGTGCTACATCAGCAGATTTAAGTTTCCATTTGTCAAAAATACCCAGAAGCTTTGTTACTTACGAATTAAAGCAATGAGGCAGATGATTTTAAACAATTACTTTGTATGACCGACTGAAATCTATCACAAAGGGAAATTTCTTTCATGATATAATAGACTGTTCACTTATCCAGTAATTTAAAATAATTTAGAACTCTGGCATCAAATTATTAAAAAGTCTACTACTAAATAATTAAAAAATACTTATGAACACGGAATAAAAAGGCAAGGGGCTTTATTCATCTATAGTTAAAATATAAATTATGATGAGCAAGCTTTCCTAATTCAAATAAAAATATAAACATCTATCCACTAAATTTCCAATCACTTGCCACAAACACTGTATTATAGAGCACAATTGAAACGAAGCATCTTATGTTGTTAAAATATTCAAGTATTTTGTTCCATATAGATGTCCTGGACCAAATGATAATTTGCTCCTTCAAATTTTGTTTTCAATAGTATGGCATATTTTATCCCTCCTAAAAGTTCTTTCACAGCCATAAAGTGATGAAGTCATTACATTATGACTAAAGTGGAGAGTGAGTTTAATATACCTCTATAAAAACCTTAAGTTTTACTCCCCCCTCAGGATTTTAAATAATGGTTACTCTGGCTTCTCTCCAAAACAAACTTGAGAAGCCTGATTTATGGAAACTTTAGGAAGGATTCAATCCTTTATAACTAAGAAAAAGCCTCAAATTCTAAAATTATATATACAAGGACCTCTTTTTTTCAGTATATGTTTACAAGTATAATTAAATGACTATTTTCCTTTAATATTCTTTTAGAGCTTGACAAACATTTCAATTTCTGAATTGGGTCTTGTCCATAACTTCGGATAGCCTCATCCCTCTTCTCTCATCCTTCTGAAACGTGAGGTAGAAATCCTTAGGAAAACCCAAGATTAAAAAAAAAAATTTAGTAGTCTGCTTTAGATTATTCTCACCTTCCTACTTTTTATTGTTCTAACGTTCTTAACTTGTATACCAGCTATCCAACTGAACTGGGATAGATCTCTTGACAACGTTCGAGAGATCGTTGAGTAAAACTTACTTAAATGGTTTACTTTTTATGTATCAGATTTCACAAATAAGCAGTTGGTTTTAAGACAATTCCTTATTTTTGCTTAGAATGTGCAAAATGCATTTGGAACACAAACCTATAGATTAAATTAGGGACGTAGATAAATGCTGCAGACATCAGTAGTTTATTGTTTGTTTAGTCCAAACACATTCAAAATGGAAACTGAAAAAATACTTTCCACCTGAAACAATTAAACTAGATTCTACTAGCATATAATGCTTAACACATTACAGCAATAAAGATGGTAATCCGTTGTCTCCTATACCTACTAAAGCCAAGATGGTAAAGCCAATTTGGTTGCAATAGTGTCATAAGGATAGAATATTACCATCAAAAAAAAAAAAAAAAAAAACCAAACAAAACAACAAATAAAAACAAAAACACAAAAACAAAACAACAATAACAACAACCAAAAACCCAGCAAAAACAGTAAGGGTAGATGAATATTTTTACTCTGGTTCACTGAAAAGAGGACAAAATGTTAAAGGTCCACAGTACGGCAGGGTGAACAATCACCATGTAAACTTCTCCATGTGATGTTTTAATGTATTCATGGTACGTAAAGACTGAAGCTGAATGGCTCTTTGCTCTATTTTTCTATTACACTTAACATCTGCCATTACTTTTGGTGTCAGAACAGTTTTCATGAGCGGCAGGGCAATATCCTGGATTTGAAATTATATATATATACATACATACATATATATATATATATAATGTGAAGAAATAAGAGTAAAGGAAAAATATACTATAAAAAACACTAACAATAAACCACTCATTTAGAAGTAGTTTGAATAAAGGCTTCAAAACTCAAAATTAATTTTCTACTAAGAACTTCAAGTACTATACATCAGAAAGTGTAAAAAAGTGTCTTAAACAGGAAAAAGAAAAATCCTTAATTAAGCCCCCTCAAATGGAAACTCTTAGATATGTGTCCCCCAAATATATGCAATAGTGCAAGACTTTTCCTCAAACATGGAAGACCTCATTCAAAGGAAAAAAAGGGAGATTTAATTTCACCTATATTGCCCAGTACATGAAAGACAAAGTATGCGCATCATTTGCTAGTTTACTAAATAGCAAACAGTTTTCACAATTCAAAACCAGTTTGCTCTACTATGTCAAGTGCATTTTTGTTTTTACCAAGACAGAATGGAGAAGTCTTCCATGTTAACAAGCAGCTTTAAGTGGTCACACTTATTTACCCCACTCCTAGCTTGAAACATCAGAAACTGGTTTGTACCAAATATTTCAAGCACAACATTGAATATCCTTTGCCATACTTGTGGTTTACCAGAACTTGCTATAAAGACAGACAATAATCCAGCAGCTACAAACTCTGCTCACAGAATTGTTTAGAGATTCATGTAAAAATAAAAGATGTCGTCCCAGACTTAAATTCAGAGCCACTCGGGTGCTGACATCAGTTCAAGAATTGTGCAAAATGAATGACAGTTCCCTGCCCCCAAATAGAAAATGTGAACACTTAAAGAGCTGCTGTTCTTTTCTCTGAAAATTGCAGTATCCTCACTTCAGGTTTACTTGCCATTTATGAAATCTGACTGCTTTTAAAATGTCACTAAAAATGTACATCAAAGTTGACTGACTTTTCCAAGCACCTCTCAATTGATAACTTCAGCGTTCACATTCATGCTAAGAGAAAAGTCAACAGAGAGACTCACTCAAATACCTGACTTCCTCCTTGCCTCTCCCTCCCAAACACAGACTCCCTCCCACAGAAAACATAAAGCGGTTAACTAACGAACCAAGTAAATCATATGCTACTCAATTTTACTAATTTTAAAGATACTGCAATTTTTATACACTTCAATGATTTTTCAACATTTTGCAGCTGTTTGGCTTTGCAGCACAGCAATTCATACACTATACTGTACAAAATTACCAGCAAGACTGGAATGATTTATTAATAGAAGGCACCATCATGCTTATTACATTACCAGAGAACAAAAATACAGTAAAGACAATTTTCACTGTACACAGCTTAAAGAAAGGAAAAAGGGGAGGAGGAGTGTGTTGAGCAGCCAGCCATCCCTGTACTGAAGAGGGGCAGGTAGAAAAATCTTAGATATGGAGCTACTAAATCTGGTCTACTATTCAAGACCACAGCATTTGAAGTTCTGATTTTTGTTATTTAGTTCAAACTAAATTATTTCCTTGGGAATATACTTGTAGTCTCGTTAAGGTTTATGTGTACAGACGCTGGTCACAGCAAGCAGATAAAATGCCCTCATCACTCACAAATTATTCTGTACTGGAAAAAAGGATGAAAGATTTTTCCCCCTGTTGCCGATGTCAATGGTAATGAGTTCAGAGTACCCATTAGTGCATTTTGATGAGTGCATAACAAGTTTCTGTTATTTTGGGGGGAGCCAAGAAAAAAAGGCAAGATTCTCCAATTGCACTATTTGTGTTTCCAACATTAATAAGCAGAAACAGTAACACTTAAACAAAATGTGCAGCAGAAGATTTTTTTTTTTGACTCAAAGGACCTGAATTCAGTTGGGCATGTCCTTTTAAAAAGTTCATTTTGATGAAGATAGTTTAAGATATGGTCATTCCTCAGTCCTTAATTCTCCAAGTCTAGATTTATAAATTAACAATGTGAATCCTGGTGTAAAATTGGGGAAATAATGTCCACCTCAATTTAACTCATAACCAAAAGATGCTTTTCACATCAAAGAAATGATCAAAAAGGCTGTGTCACATTCCAAAGCCAAAAAAAAATTTAACAAGAATGCAAACACGATGAGTAATGTACCACTGCCAAGACTTTGTGAACAGTGGGGTTCAGCGACGCTGTCCTGTGAAGCGGCCTTCCATCTGCCCGGTTCCTCTTCCAGAGCCAAGTTTTTGTGCCATGCCACCTCTTGGAGGAGGTCCTCTTCCATCTCGGTCACGCATCATTCCGCCACCTACTATTCCACGTGGACCACCAGGACCTCGATCATTGCGCCTGATATCCCTGCGATCATCACCACCACCTCTAGTTTCTCGCTCTCTTGCAGCTCTTGTTTTTTTCTCTTCCACATTTAAACGCACTTCCCCTCGAAACATAATTGGCTTTAAAAAGGGAGAAAAAGATTTAAATGGGCAGGTTAGAGAGTAATAATAAAGTATTGCCTTGTACATGTTAATAAGAAAATCTTAATAAATTTAAAATGATCCACACCCCAGACTTTGAAACTACTAACAAATCTTTATTCTTTGCATAAATACCATTTCATAGTGAACTATTTTTAGTTTAACCATTAAAAAAAAGATTTTTCTATGGCTTAAAAATGCACCAGATTAATATTATATATACAGGAATAATAAAGTCTTGAATTATGCCCTTTAAGTCACTTACTTTTGCAATTAAGATTCTCTGAACTGGTTCAGAGTCATCAAAAACCACAAAACCAAAATTTGGAAGCTTTCCCCCAACACCCTTGGTATTGATGCGAAGTTCCACAACGTTTCCAAAACCTGTGAAAATATACATTATACCAAGGGTTAAATATTTTAACAAAATACTTTGTGGCCTCAATTGTTCAGGATGAATGACCTTAATCTCCTTGATCCATCTCAAAATAAAAGTTGCTAGTGGCTATGTCCAACAATGAAGGTACACACTCACTTACATAGGCCATTCACCTAAGATGCCAACAACTAGCTGGACTGCTTGTTTTCTGGCCCTTCAGCACCTTTATTACACTTTTCAAAAGAAAAGTTACCTACGTAGTTTTAGAAAGACAATGATTATTTTCTATTCTGACTTATAGTTGCCAAATGAATCCCACCTCCAAATTTAAGGCTGATTCATCCAGCTTTCTTCTAACATCTAGAGAACCAGGCCAGTCAACACTAAGTACAGTCACTGAGAAACATCTGATACAGCTTTCTACTCTCTTCCGATAAGAGATTGGTACCTGGAGATATACAAAGTATATATAGAGATAAATGGTTTTAAAAATCTTGTTACACTATGAAAAATTATCTGTTTTCCTCCTCTTAATTCTAAGATAAAGCAAAATAAATCACTTACTCATGAAGAACTCTTTCAGTTCATTTTCATCAATATCATGTGGCAAGTTACCAACAAAAAGTTGATGACTATCTGGATAGCGAATTATTCTACGGTTGTCAGATTCATTCTGTTCAATATCTCCTCTGCCTGAGAAAAGGAATAGAATAGAGACTTATTGGGGTCTCACCTAAAATCATAAACTCAAATCAGTGGAAGACAGGACAAACCCTAGCCTCCATGACTTCTAGTTTAGTAATACACCTTATACTTTACTTTTGTGGAAAAAGTTACATATTCTAAATTTGATGTATACAATCTTCCCACCTCCTCCCAAAAGCAATCTAAACAGACTTATAGAATTCAAACAAAGGTGCTGCATGTATTAGCTAATAACACCGCAAACATAGCAACTTACTTCAAACCTTAGACAATCAAAATAAGAACCAGGGTGTGCTTACTGTTTATCCGTGAAGAGATAAGAGTGAAGTAATAGAGCAGGTTATTCGCACTCGGTTTTGAATTAATAGAACCAGTGACAAAAAACCAAATACGTGTTCCAAAATTAATGCATGCCTTCAAAATACACATCTCTGGCATTACAACTAATCCTCCCCCTAAAAGTTAGTCTTTTTGCCCCAGACTGAATTTTTAGCAGGTTATTTAAACCTTTAAGCATTGTGAAAATAGAATTTGGGTATAAAACACATAGTTTTTAAATTCAGTCTTTTCCAACTTTTTAAAGTACCAAACACTAAATTCTGAAAGCTACAGGAGAGACCGACTTACCTGGTCTGGGTCCTCTAGGAGGGAAACCAGGTCGTTCTCTAGGTCGCTGTTCACGTACACGAGGTGGCTGAGACTGAACTTCTGGTTTAGCTTCAACTCTAGGCTAAAATACAAGGGAAAAAGCACATTATAAAATGCAAAGGAAAAACATTATAAAGACAGACATTCCACAGGAGAAAACAAACAATTAAAGCAACTATCAGAAGTCCGTAACAGGCATATAATGGTAATTTTAAGTTTAGAATGTTTTTTAACATAGTGTCCTATGTACATAAAAAATAAATTTTTATAAAGATATTCTGTACCAATCTAGGACTGTAGGGTAGGTTTTGTTTTCTCACTCAAGGCCACATAACTCACAATAAGATTTTTTTTACAACCACATTTTAAAAATAAAGTTATATCTACATTGAGACAGCATAAAAGGTATTCCTACAAAAATCCCAAAATTGCAAGATGAGCCAGCCACTTCATGTAAATACACATACAAAAGAAAAGGTCATCTTTTTATCTTAGGAAGACAAGAATGTATGACACATACTTTCTAATTATTTACAATGACATTTTCAGTATTCTCAATCAATGTCTTCAGATTATCTACTGCCCAAATATTTGTGGTCCAAGGAAGAAACAAAAATATATGCACCCCCAAAGGATGCTGAAAACGCTCAGTGAGATAGAAAGAGTATGTCCCCAAGTCAGAAAGCGTATAATTTCTGTTCTGTCTTTATGGCTAAGCATCTCTTTAAGGATGTCAGTCTGGGCAGTAGCTTAAACTCTTTCATAATTATATAACTGAAGTATCATAATTTGCAAGGACAAATTTTAATACAAAGTTATGCTTCCTTCAAAAATGACAATTTATTATAAATGATTTCACCCACTATAACTTCTATCCTAACAGGTTTTAACAGATTCAGCTGACTCTTGCCAAATTCTATTTTCTTCTACGTAAATTCCCTCCTCCAACAAGATGAAGTTGCTTCCCATGTTCTAGAATTTTGCTAGTTAAACCATTTTAATTCTCCAATTTTCTCAGTTATTTATATGTATTCATTCCTACAAGAATCACAGCTTATTTCTACACCACCTGAAGAACCAAAACAGTATTGTTAAATATAGATGCCTAGTAGCTACTGATTCACTTAAAATTAATTCCCATTTATAGTTTTCTAACCCGAAACATGTAGAAAAATGTTCTGTGCCTGACAAGGGAACCTAAGTTACAGTCCTGAAGCCACTGCTTATCTATAGCTGGAATTTAATACTGTAAGACAGCTTGACATATGATGTGATGCCTGAAAAAGGCAGTTATTTAAACATTTCAACTTAAGAAGGCCTAAAAGCATAACTTAAATATGACTGTAAACAGAATTAAAGAATAAATGTACTCTAATAACATTCTGAAGAAGCTAGTGTGCTTAGAAAATTAATAAAAAAAAGCAAACATACATTTTAATTTAAAAATCTCAGAAAACCTTCAGACTCAACTCAAATCATATGTTATCAAAGAACTGAGGCATCCTGACTGATTCAAATTGTTTTCAAAACAGAGTACCAAAACAAAACCACAAGTAGCAAAATAGAAAAGTTCTTCATTATCCTTTAAGGACTTCAAAGTAAAAACAATAATTTTTAACACCTTACAAATAATTCATACTTTGATTTAACAATCTATTTATCTGACGATGCCAGTGAAAGAAAAACAAAGCCAAAAAATCTAACAAAATCCTTTCAACGACTAATTAATATATGTTAACTAAGCCTGCTGTACACTCACAAAATTCTTCAAGCTAAATTTCATGATTCTAAGTAGATAAAATGGCTAATATCCAACATATTATTTTAGAGCCTTAAAATGATTTCCACATAACCAGAAAGTACACTCACATGACAAATCCCACAACAAAAAGTCAAATGGAATAAAAAAATGGAAGCATCAAGTCAATAGCAGGTAAAACCAAAACTATAAACATCCTTCAATTTAACAAAAGCTATTTAGATAAAATAACCAATTTGCAGACAAAATATTCTTTTACCAAGAAATTAACTTACCTACTTCTAAATTAAAGCCTATTAATACCCCAGAATTACATTTTTCTTTTATTAATAACCTATGCTAAAACTGTCAAGAAAAGGAACATTACACCACAGTAACAATAAAGTTGAAGTGTTTATTAAGTCAAATGGAAAACCATGAATCCATTCCAAATATAGCCTAAGATACCAGAAATTTATTTTAAATTATAAACATTTAAATATTCTGTTTTAATAAGGGTATACATTGGGAAATACAATCTAATCTTCTACAACTCAAAAGTTACAAAAAGTACAAAGAATTATTTCCCTGGGCAAGAGGCTAGAATGTAATAAAATGTAATTAGGCATGCCTTAAATATAGCACTCTTCTTAACTATAAACAGAAACATACTCCCCTCCAAAGGGCTAAAGAAACCTAGGCAGGTTTGCATGAATCACATATGGATTCCGGTGTCCACGACGTCCAACTGCACGAATTCAAAACCCAGCCTTACTATTTATTTATAAACCTGTCTGACCTCAGGTGAGGTATCTAAGCCTCAAAACATTTAATTAAGTGGGAAACAGGAATAATAATAGTAATCACCCTAAACAAAGTAGTTATGAGGATTAGATGAAAATGAACATAAAGTGCTTTGACAATGCCTGGTACAATAACCATTAGCTATTTTAACTTTTAACTATCAGTAACTTTAGAAGAAATGTAGTCAACTCTCTCAAATGAGGTAACAATCCAAGAAAGATTCCAAGTCCATATCTGATAAATCCAGTATTTCAAAGCACATCCAGAAGTCACTTATCAGGTCTTCAGATGGATTAAAAAGCACAATCAATACTTGGTAAGTTAATTTTAAGAAAGATTACTAATTTGTGATCTGAGTATCTAACTCAGCACTTCCTGAATATATAACTGAGAATCTTCCTGAATATCTAACTGAAAAAACAACATCAAAAAACAAACAAAAAAAACAGGCTATCATGAGGCCGTGTATTCTATTATGTTACCTGAGTATATGGCAGCAACACAAGAAAAGACTTTCTAATAATTACTGGCTATGTTTGAAACTTCCAAGTTTCATTGTTTAGAGCATATTAAGAGGTGTACACAAACAACTCTATGTGCCCTAAGCATTTTAAATGTAAATTTTCTAGTGCAATTCAGTTTAACTCAAAATGTAGATAAAAGAATTGGACACTCCTTTAAACTGTGCCTATAAGCTTAACTTAAATTTAGTTAATTCTAAAGTATATATAATAAATGTAGTAGGCAGTGACTTATTTTCAATGTTTTGAAAGCTTTGAAATGGGTATAATGACAGACAAAAAGTAGAATTTTGGAATGATCAGTTAAGGTGAACACTACAGTCATAAGTTGGTACAGGCTTCAGTTAAACGTTGTGAACCACTTATAGACAAAAAAAGCTCAGGCAGTATAACTTTTAAGTATTCTATTTTTTAAAAACAGTGATTCTTTATAATGCCACACTACTTTGTGCCTTTCCAAATTTCTTCCTTAAAATGTTTGCTTAATAAAATTTAAAACTTTTTAAAAGGAACTTTTTTTGGTTATTTGAAGAAGCCTTTTAAATGACAGTAATATATATGTGTGTGTGTAAATAAAACCAACTTAATCTGCATTTCATACACCCAAGCCCCAAATACCACCTATGTAGATGATGAATGGAGATTTGGCATTTAAAGTGGGTGCACTGACATTTAATACAATTTTTTGTATATTTAATCAATAATTTCTGACTCATTTTAAAAAGTATTAAAAAGATAAGCAATTGGCAATGTAACAAGGATACAATCCAATGTGTTCACAGATTGGTTACCTGTGAGACTGGTGCTTTAACATGGGGTGGAATTCCAGAGGAAGAAACAGTACCACTAGGAGGCAGGTTTTTACTGGTCACTGAAGCCCAGGAGAAAGCCTGCAGGAAATGCAACAAACCTAGACTACTAATCATGGAAAACCACCAACATTCCTATAGGGAAACTTCCAAATATATATATATATATTTTCACTTCTAAACTATTGCTCTACATTGGAGGATTCCTAAAAGAAAGGCACACACACACATGCCAGTCTATGTGCCAGCTTTCAAAATCTCATTATGAAAGATTTGATGGTCTTTACTGAACTACTAAATAAATCAACGAGCAACTTCCTATATGTCCTAAGTAGATGAGCAAGTAGTGCAAAACCACTAACACATACTAGAAAAGTCAGAGCCTAATAGAACCAATTTCTTTCCCCTTTAGAGAAAAATAGGGTGTGTGATGGTGTTAAGGGAAGGGGGAAGGATAGGAAAGAAGAAAGTACTAGCTGAAAACTTTAACAAACATTCACCAATTGAACTAAGTATCTCCTCTCACTGCTCAAATATACTTTAACCTTCTACTTTTACAGAAAGATAAAAGATGTATAGATAGGCTTAAATGATACATTATCAGTCACTCATCTTTCCAAAAAGAGTTTAATTGGTTGTAGTAAAGAAACTGTTCCCATTTAAACCAGAAATAACAGGTATCTCCTCTTCTAATAATAAACCAACTTGTTTAAGTTGGGAAATTGCATGACCGCTTGCACCCATGTAGAGGACTTAATACACAAGGGAAGAGCAACTCTCAGATTTATACATGGACCCAAATAATTTCATGAAAGGTACTAAGCATTGCGTACAGACAAAGATTTACCTTAAACTTCACTCTGAGGGGTATTTTTTTGGAGGGGAAAATGTAATGAGACTTCCTCAGGATTACCAAAAACAAAAAAACACAGCTTTTTTCATATACATAAAAAAAGTATAGTTTACTATGTTAAACAATTTAACATAACAGAACAAAGATCATGCTTCAATAACAGTATCAAATATAATGTGTGAAGTTACAGATTAATAAAGAGATCCTTTGATCTAACCTTTGGTGGTTCTTGTGGCAGAGAAACAGGTTCAGCAGGAGGAGGAGAAGTAGACTTCTCCTCTAATTCTTCTAAGTTCTTCTCTTCCACAGGTGGTTTCAGCTCCTCAGTCTTAGTTTCAGATTCTGGTTCAGGTTCGGGTTCATGAGAGGATTCTTCCAAAGGCTCCTCTATGCCATTACTACAATAAAATATTTTATTCCCTTTTCAGTATGATAGTGAAATGATCAAGATAAAATTCAGTATTTCTCTAATATAATGACCAAAAGTCCACCAAGAAGTAGGAGGCAGAAAGGAACCACATTCTCATGAAACATTTCTTAAACCCCAGTATCTTAAAACTGGATAACTAAAAATGTTTACTTTAGTACTAACTATAAATAAAACTTATATTTATAAAAATAAAATAAAATGCTCACTCTCTGTGTTGTCCCAACATTCTGTATTATCAGTAAGTGTTCAGTGTTTTGGGCCAAACCATGTTTAATTTTTTAAATTAAATAAAAAACAATTATTTCCAAATTTCTTGCAGAATACTCAAATACTGCTGATAGGTAGCTTTTTATCAAAAATTTACTTCCAGGCCCTGGCTGGTGTAGCTCAGTGGATTGAGCGCGGATCTGCGAACCAGACAATCGCGGTTCGAATCCCAGTCAGGGCACATACCGGGGTTGCAGGCAGGTTCCCTGCAGGCCAGTTCCCAGCAGGGGACACACAAAAGGCAACCATACATTGATGTTTCTCTCCCTCTCTCCTTCCCTTCCCCTCTAAAGATAAATAAATAAAAAAAAAAATTTACTTCCAGCAGTAAGTAATCCTAGGAACAATACCACCAGACTGCATTAATTTAGACCAAATTTAACCTTGTAAACACTATTCTTACGTCACAGGGTGAGCTTCATAGTATCCACTATTAGTGTTTTCTTGTACAGGTTCTGGAGATGGCTGCCTTTCTTCTTGTTCCTCTTCTACTTCATCTTCTGATTCTGACAATATATAATGTATCAAATCTTTTTAAAAGAGGCTTAACACACAATTTGATATCCATACTTTTAATGATTAAGGGAGTGATGTGACAGTAAAAAAAGGCATACTTTTCACATAAGCATTCATTTGCAATATTCCCTTACTCTCTTAAAAATCTGGAAAGCAAGCCAAGATGATGTTTGCTATTTACCCTATTTTTTAAACAAAACCTATTAGTAAGGAAAGAGTAGGAAATAAACAATGAAGCTATAGCTTAGTTTCCTTTATCACATTTATTCAACAAATGATTAAAAAGGAAACAACTGATATATCCAATGGAGAATCAATTAAATAATTATGGCACAACCAAAAAATTGACAGCCAAACAAATAAGCAAACTTTAGCCAACATAATACCGTTTTGTTGTTGTTGTTGTTTCATAAATATAACTACTGGTAAGCATAGGTTCCAACAAAATTCCGTAACAGGCACCAAACTCTCAGTTATCTATAGAGGATGAGATTGAGAAGAGTTTTTTTCCACTTTCTATGTCTGACTTCATTTATTATTTCATATAATGAACACCTATATCATTCATAACAAAAACTCAAAGGAGAAAAGGGGTTTTGACAGTTATAATATAGGAAAATTTCTTTAAGTTTCATACTTTTCCCTAAAGAATGATGAAAGAACCCTTCTATCTCAAAAGTAACCTTACCTTCATCAAGTTCTGGTTCAGAATCACCAAATACTTCATCCTCATAACGAAACATGTCATTGTGAACGTAAAACTTATTTGGAACAGATCCCTATAGAAAAACAGCATCCAAATACACCATAAGCACCCCCATAAAGGTAGCATAAAATAAATACAAACTGCACAGCATACATAATTTCTATTTTAGTAATACAAAATCATGAAGACTATCATTTAAGTTGAACATGGTATATGATGTTAACAACACTACAGATCAAAGAAAAAATACAACTTAAGAAATGTCTAATCAATGTAACAGAACCAGAACCAATTAACAAATGGAACTTTCCCACTGTTCAATATGTAACCTATTAAAGTTAACATATTTTTGTATTATTTCTGTAATCTTAATCTTAACCATCTAGTCTCACATTAGTATCGGTAACTGACTTTTATCTCTAGTCAAAGAGCACACACACGCAAAGCTCAAATAAACTACATCAACTGGCACAGTACTAATTTTTCAAAAAAAGCTACATGTACACCTAAAGGGGTAAGATGAAACCCTCTGGACATGTCAAGCAACTAATAAGAACCAAATACAACCATATAAATAAAAACTTACTTCGGGAGCCAGAACAAAGGTTTGCATAAACTTCCTCTCTGGTTGTCCACTGTTGGACAGCAAACCCATGACCTGGACAACTACTCCATCACTTAAGGTTGCATGAGCATCCACATGACGAATTTTGGTATGACATTCACTGAAGTTCAGAGATAATACTTTGTGGTGTATATCCTTTATTAGAAGAAGGGAGAAAACAAAAATTCTTATGATACTCCATAACCTATATAATACAGCAACAAAACTTCCCTGATTTCTTCCTCACAACCTACAGAATATTTATGTAATCTTTCTGCCTCAGTTGAATCCACTCTATTATACTATGTTACTGCCAGACTGATGTTCCTGAAGCCACCATTTTCAACATGTTAACTCCTTACACAAGAAATCACAATGGCTGTCTCGTATGCTGTAATATATGAGCTTTACATAGCTTTGTCCCACTATCTGCATTAGATAATTAATCATTCACACAAAATGTACTGTGTACTCCTTGGCCTCACATCTATTTTTACTGCATGTGTGCCAAGGCCATTTCTTCTACTTTCAAATGACTATCCTGTAAATTCAGAGTCTATTTGAAATCCCACATGCCATCCTCTACAAAATCATAAGGAATATATATACTTTTGTGCATTCCTGTTTAAAGTTAAGGTTTAGCCCACATTTGTATATAAGCTTTAATAAACTGGCTCAACTATTTCATGTATAAAATACATTAAGGATATAAAACATCCCATCTTCTCCTTTGTATCCACCCCCAAACCAATGCAATATGGCATTTCATGTAAAATCAATGTTTATGAGAACTCAAAGCACAACTGACCATTATTGTAACATAAATCCTAGTTATAAGTAATGATCACATTCAAGAAACACATGGGCCAAAAAAAACTATTTTTCAAATATTTATTTTAATATACACATAAAAAATAAGAAATGTATATGCAATTGATACTTACATTTTGGCCATAAACAGCCTCCTGGGGCTTTCCACTAGCATCTACTCCACCATGAACATAGGAAGAATTCCTTCCATAAAACCTGTAAACCATAGATAATGAAAACATTCAACTGTCAAGGGAAGCCCAAGAGGCAGTACAGTTCTAGTGTCACACAGACCTAACTTCCAGGCCTGGTTCCCTCATTCATTAGTTGTGTAATCTTGAGCACACTTATAGTCTTAGAAGTTTACCTTGGTTATAAACCAGAATATGACTACCCCACAGGGTTTTTATAAGCATTAAACAAGTAATGACAAAATTCTCAGCATGTCTAGTCTAGTATACTGAATATACCATACACTCAAATCACTAGCTATTCCCATCTAATTCTTATCACACCTGTTTTTTTGTTAAGTGGAAAAATAAGGTATTTGTAATACATTCTACACATTGATACTATAGTAAATGATCCCTTTCTTCCCCCTTTGGAAACAAAAACTGAGTTATTCAGACTTGTGTGAGAATTAGATGCTGTTTAACATTCTACTCCAAACCCGAAATGATTACTAATCCTTGCAAAGCCTTAGATTAAATCAGTTTAGATTTAAAATAACTGAAATAATTCAGAGACCATGTAAAAAAAACTACATTATTACAACATCCAATTTCTCTTTAATATTGTTCTTAAGTACATAATGTTTCTCTGGCACTACCTAATGCAATTAGAATTAATCTTTCTAAATTAAGGTTATCAAACATTTAAAGTTGACTTTTAAATAAAGAAAACTCAACTTCTATCATAAAATATACTAAGACTTCCTCTATGCCAACTGATGTTTACAATGCATTACAGAGATCGATTCATTTAACCCTAGTAACAACCTCATGAAATAAGTGCTATTATCTAAATGAGTAAAATAAGGATAAGAAGAAGTTAAATTAACTTTGCTAAGATCACACGCCTTTCAAAATGCAGCAGCTGAGACATGAACCTAGTATGTCCGATTCCAGAATTCATGCTTTAAACTTGCTGTCTATATTTTAAAATTTATACTATTTTCTTTCATGTAAAACCAGCAAGCATGTAAACTACTATTATTTTACTGGAGGACAATTTGGATCTACGTGTATATGAGGTCTATCCAGAAGGTATCCAGCCATGTAATATGAAAAAGAGACATTTACTAAAGAAGGTATAAGATACAAGAAATGCTGTACAAAGGACAATGATGCCTCCTCAGGCATTTTAGGTCCTCACAAGTTCTCCCAATCACCATAGCTGCCCTGTTGTATTTTCCTGAATCTCATCAATGCTTTAAAATCCCTTTTCTTTCAAAGGTGATTTTAGTTTTGAGAAAATCTGAAAGTCACAGGGCACCAAATCTAGTCTGTAGCGGGGCTTGAGCTGCCTGGGTGACTAATAATTTGATGTTGCACCGAAAAACTCTGAACGAAACCTGATGCATGAATGGGCACCTTGTCATGATGAAGCTGCCAATCACCAGTTGCCCATAACTGCAAATAAGCCCAAACTTTCAAATAAGTTTTCCACTCGTGGCTGTTCCTCTTCCCCTTCTGGTACCCCTATAATTCGGATGTTGGAACGTTTAAAGATGTCCTGGAGGTTCCTAAGCCTCTCATTTTTTTGAATTCTCGTTTCTTCATCCTTTTCTGTTTGGTCATTTTTTTCCTTTTTCTGGTCCACTCCTTTGATTTGAGTCCCAGTTTCCTTTTCATCACTGTTGGCTTCCTGTGCAACTCCCTTCATTTCAATTAGTTTTGCCTTCATACGTTCCTCTAATTTGTGACTAAAATCAACCAGTTCTGTGAGCATCCTGATCACCAGTGTTTTGAACTGTGCATCTGAAAGTTTGGCTATTTCTTCATCGCTTATATTTATCAGCTCTGGGGCTCTGAGTTGTTCTTGAGCCATGTTTTGATCTGTTCGTGCCTGTTATGTATGAGGAGGTGTTCACCAGGGTGGGGCCACCCAGGTCGCTGGTCTGTGATGCTGTATGTGGGGGCAGGGTCAGAAAGGGACAATGGCAGTCCCCTCTGCCACTTTCTGCCACTGGAGCCTGCATGGTCTGTCTCACCGTTTTGCTCCTTCACTGGTTTATCTGCGCTCGACTGTGTGACTTTGGTCAGCCCCCAGTGGGTCCGCCGCCTTGCACCCTCAGTGGATCTGCCCATGGCTGCTGGCACACCTGGGTTGCTCGCCCGGGTCGGTGTGGTGGATCTTTCCTGCCCAACCCCGCTCTGCTGCTGGCTCTGCCCCTCTTACCAGTTTGGCTGAAGGGTTCGTTGTTGTCAGACTTCCGTGTAGTTCAATTTTCTGTGGTTTGGTTGTGTTTTTGTTGCTAAAACTTTATTGTTTTTAAACTTGGTTGTGTGAGAAGGCGCAGTGCTTCCACCTACGCCTCCATCTTGGCAGAAGTCGGATCTCAAAACAGTTTTTGAACTCATCAATTTTGATGCCTTGTAGTGCTTCTGTCATTTTTTTCACCTCTCCCACATCAGCAAAAACATTTTCCTTTCAGGACATTTTTCTTCCAGGGAAATAAAATAAAGTCACTGGGTACAAGATCGGGTGAATAACGAGGATGAGGTATGGTGGTCATGATGTTTTTGGTCAAAAAATGCCGAACTCTCAGTGTGGTTCAGGCAGGTGTGCTTATACATCACTCATCATGATATGGGCAAACTCACTCAGAGTCTTCAAAAAAAAAAAAAAAAAAATTCCCTGAAGCATACTGCAGCCTCCTACAGCACCACTAGCTGGTACACTGATACAGACGGGTTCCTAGAACACTCACCTAGCGGGGGGAAGCCTGTACTACAAAGGGCTCAACCTCATACATTTATTCTTAACTCACTTGACCAGAGTGTTCTACAACAACTACTTGCAAAACCTAACACTGACAAAAGTCTCATATCTTTCACCTGCTAAAATATATCACAAAGAACAGAAACTATAACTACTCACCTATTTTGCAGATCAAGAAACTTTAACAAGTACAATCACTTAATGGATTCATTTTCTAACAATGCTGTAGAGAACTTTAAAGAGACGACTAAAGCCCAAATTGCAGATTGGAACTCATTAGTGTCAAGCCCAAGGTTTTCTTAAAATTAAACATAAAGTACCAGAGGATAAAATTTTGTACACACACAAGCATGTGTAACTGTGTTATGAAGTGTCTTTCTCACCATGAATTTCATTAAAAAACTTGAAAAGCAATCCATTTAAATTTACCTGTGTAAATATTCTGGAGCTTTATTCAGCAAAGTATAATATTGCCTCACAAACTCCCGCCCTACAAGCAGCGGACTGGGCTTCTCCATAACCATTTCTTTGCTGCACAATGTCAAATGCTAAAGGAGCAAAACACAAGATTAGTAAGTATTAGAAAGTCATCTTTGTAAACTTCCAAGAAATAATTTTTCTGAGACATACAAATGGTTATAAAAATTAACACTATTTATTAAAAAGTAGTTTACAATGGCAAAAGAATAAATTCTCAACAACTACTGGTTACTCCCAATATTCTGAATCTCTTGTTTGTTTTTTCTTCATCTCTCTTATCCCTCAGAAGTGGGAAGTAGCACAGTTCTTATTCCCAAGAGAAGTCCAGTGCTACCTCAGATGCTAAGAAAACCATAACCAAGGCTTTCCATTCACAGCGCCTCTTCTTTTTGGGGGACCATTACCTCCGTGTCCTTGATTCTTTTTTGAAAACCAGGCAGAAGGCACAGGGCAGGACTGAGAGATCTCACTTACTGAAACAGTACTGACCTGTGCCTTCTCATTTTTCTCTCCTAGGAATTCATCCCACTGTTTTCAAAATAATAACCACCAGTCATCTCAGTACTCAAGATAATTGTTTTTATATTTGTTGTCTTTCTAATCTTTCTTTCCATTGATTAAGCATTGAAACCATATACTATTTATAGTAAATGAGATACACTGGACAAGATAAGACTCTAGCCCTGAAGGAGTTTGTAGTCTGCCACAAAATATGAACAGGCAAGAAGAGAACAGAATATGTTAGGTACCATGCTGAAGTTATTTTTAAGCTAATATCTCAAAGATAAAGGTCAAACTAAGTAAAATTATTAACGACTTTTCACCATTTAAAGTAAACGACTTACATGTTTATATCCTCCGAACAGTCAAAATTATAACATTAGGAATGGGGGGGGGTTAAGTATTACTGAAACCAACACACCATCCTGATCCTAATTCAACTTCACTCTATTACCTCTTTTTTCCTTTTATAATTATCTCAAAACTCTGTCTATAAAAATCCCAAAATATTATATAATGCCGCACTTGATTTTTAAAAAATAATTAACTCAGTGCTTCTAGTGGCAGGGTGTGGGGAATGGGAGCAGCAAGAAGAGAACCCCTAGTGTAGCCCAAGAAGCAGGCCAAGGAGGTAAAAGAGGAAGATAAGGCATGAAGGACTTTCATTTGCTACATTTAAAGTAACAAAGCTAAGCAACATAATATTTTTATTTGGAATGATATGGAATGGTGAAGAGTAGTAGGGTTACCTAGTAAAATGTTATAAACTAAAAATTTTTAAACTAAAATGTGGAAACCACACATACTTTAATACTGTAACAACTGATGTTAAAAATAATGTGGGAAGATACCTACCCTGTGGGGAAAAAAATAGGTACAAAATAGTTTTGTTTAAATGGTTAAAAGACAGAATGCTGCTGTTAGGGATTGTTTCTGGGTTTGGGGATTCTTTTTTTTTTTTTAAGATTTTATTTATTTATCTTTAGAGGGGAAGGGAAGGAGAGAGGAAGAGAAATATCAATGTACGGTTGCCTTTTTGTGCGTCCCCTGCTGGGAACTGGCCTGCAAGGAACCCGGCCTGCAACCCAGGCATGTGTCCTGACTGGGAATCGAACTGCGATCGTGTGGTTCGCAGGCCCATGCTCAATCCACTGAGCTACGCCAGCCAGGGCTTGGGTTTGGGGATTCTTATTTTTCCCTCTTTCTTCTCCCATATTTCCAGATTTCCTACAGTGGCACTATCCCAAATCTCCCATCCCATTTATAAGGTACATACCCACCTAATATTTTTCTGGCTTACATACAGCCCAAAGTAAAGAAAGTAACCAAATACACCTATCAATATCAATCAAAGGATCAAAATGCACTAGAAGTCTGTAGATCAGAGCTAGAAGTTTTACTTATTATTCAATAAATTATTTATTCAAAGGACGTAACTTGAAATGGTAAATGAGAAAAGGCAATGCTAATCTGGTAAAAGTCTAAAAAGCTATCCCCAAGAGGCTATGCAGAGCCTCTTTTTTAAGGTGCAGGAGGCTCCATGATAAAATGAAATAAAGATGTCACTCAGAATTGTGTTTAAATTAATTACACTGGCAAATATAACTCACAAATCAGTTTACTTTTTTACTGTAACTGATTTAAAGTGAATCAGAGTTTAGAAAGCTAAAAAGTGATTGATGGAAATCAAGCAGAAAGGGAAGGTATTGAGGGAGAGGCTGGAACCTGACAATTTTTTAATGACACACTAATTTATATGTTCTATACAGGGAACTGCCATCTCTTCCATCTTCCCATTTTATCCCAGAGTAGGAAAAATAACAATCCAATAAATAAGGAATGCATCAAAGAATCACTAGGGATAAATTATAGATGAATCACCACACAAGGCAGTTTGAGATTTGGACAACTGAACAATATAAAGTTGTGTTTATCATTCACGTATGGCCAGTGTACATAAGAAAAAAGTGTGAGAGGAAAACAGAGCCAAATCACACGTTCAGAATAAGAAATCATGACTTTGCTGGATCTCAATTTCCTAATTTACAAATTAAGACATGCATGATCTCTGGTCAAGCCTTCGAAACTATGCAGTTCAATAAATAAAGCTAGCCAAGATGGTACAAAAAGTTTTTTTTCAGAAGTTTGTTAGCCACTATATTTAGTATCTTTTCAAAGAAAGTGAAACATCATGTATTAAACTCCATTTGACAATGTAGAGATTGTGTCAGATTGAGATGCACAACATAAAACTTACTCTTTTCTTTGTCAATTATAATCCATCAATCCTATTTATTCGTCCATGTAGCAACATGATTATATCCACCTTCCCTCACCAACTCTGTCCATCCCACTTAAAATCCCTGTGTATCTTCATCAACATTCTTTTATTCATTCTTGTTTCTTAAAATGTCTCCTCTCCATTTGCCTAGACTAATTCCTAAAGCCCATTTCCAGGGAAACTGCTGTATGTCGACTGTCACTGTCTTTTCTAAATCTCTTAATATCTACCTATAACCCACTGAGAGGGAAGGGGAGGACAGGAAAAAGTCACACACATACACAAATAATACGGAAAAGAAAGTTGTACCAGGCTTCACATTGATATCTACGACATGCTCAGTTTTCCTCAATTTCAAAATAAATACTTAAAAACAAAACAAAATTTATCATCTTGGCCAGATGGCTTGATTAGAGCATCATCCCAATCCCTGGCCAACTGATGTTTCTCTTTGACATGGATGTCTATCTCCCTCCACCCCCCCTAGAAGCAATAAACAAATCCTCTGGTGATAATTAACAAAACAAAACAAAAAAACCCTAAAACTGTCAACCAAAGTTACCACACTCTGTTCTTCCATGACTAAAATCTCAGCTTTTAGTTAAGTACTTAGGTTTTTGTTTACCTTTCAGTTAAGTCAGTGAATTACTACTATATACATATGGAGCTGTTCCCAAAGCAAACCACCTCAAACTAGTATAAATTTAATGTTGAAAATGAGTTTACATTTCTGTTCTACTTTGTACAATACAAGTTAAAATACTGGTTGAACAGTAAATGGAAATTACAGGAAGCTGCCCTGGCTGGTGTGACTCAGTGTACTGAGCTGAGCGCTGGCCTGTGAACCAGGTCAGCGGTTCAGTGGTTCAGTTCCCAGTCAGGGGACAAGCCTGAGTTGCAGGCCAGGTGCCCAGTCAGGGGGCATGTGAGAGGCAACTGATCAATGTTATCTCTTGCACATAGATGTCTCTTCCTCTTTCTCCCTTCCTTCCCCTCTCTCTAAAAACAAATAAATAAAATCTAAAAACAAAACAACAAAACAAAACAAACAAAAAAACAGAGGAAGATAGATTTAGGTTCAATATAAATAAAATGAAAGAATAACCCGAAAGAGCTCATGAACAGCTGGTCAGTACTAATTGAACAATTCAGCAGAAATATAGTAAAAATACTCATGTATCTAGTTAGATTAGGTTGCTCCAATGCCAGGTTTCAAGAAGTCTACTAACAAGAACACCTTTTACTACTACTCTAATACTCACTCCATACTTTTCCATCTAATGACTGAAACCCTATGCATTCACATTTGGGTCCAGCTAAAATATTGTCCCCTGAAAATCTTTCCTATTTGCTCAGTAGAATATAATCGTCTTTCCTCCGATTTCTCACACTACACTGGGTCTTTATCCTACACTGGGTCTTTATCATGGTATTTTATTAATCATATTCTACCTTAAATTACTAAATATACATCTGGCTTAGTCTTCCTCTTCACTATTCCCCTTTCACATATTAAAATCTGAGCTTTCCCTTAATGTTATTTTCTAGAAAGTCACAATTCTTCTAAAAAAATCCAATGACCTCTCCTAATGCTTCTAGATTTCTACAACGAGGCAATAACATATCACTGAACATCTAGAATAACGACTAATATAAAAATGTAGTACTAACTGTTTATAAAGACACGAAAGTTGGTAGAAATAAAAAATGTTACAGGCACTTCAGAAAACAGTATGGCAGTTTCCTATCAACTTAAACATGCACATCTCATATTACTCAGCAACCCTACTCCATATTTACCCAAGAGAAACAAAGCATATGTCCAAAGACTTACACATTATGGCAGCTCTATTAATAAACAAAACTGAACAATAAAACAGTAATAAATATATAACTATCAACATCTGAATCTAAAAACAAACTAAGCAAACAAGAACAGAGATAGAATCAGGAGAATGGGTGAAGAAGTGAGGGGATTAAGAAGTACAAATAAGTAGGTACAGAAGAGCCAGGCGGATGTACAGTATAGGAAATGGAGTAGCCAAAGAGCTTATACTCATGATCCATGAACAATGGTATGGGGACTGCCTGAAGGAGTGGGTGCTTGCTGGTGGAGGGGGCAAAGGGGGGAAAATCAGGGCAACTCTAATAGCGTAATCAAATAAAATATAATTCAAAAAATAATAAAAAGAAACACTCAAAACCTGAAAAAAAAAAAAACCACCATTAGCCAGGTGCATGAATAAAGAAATTATTATATTAGTCCATGTAACTGAATACTGCTCA